TTTTACGAGCCCTGCGCATTAGCGCTGGAAGCAAGCTTGGGACTTGTTGCGTTACAAGAGGACACACTTCCGAAATTGTTGGAATGGACTAATGAAAAAGAAATACAGGTGACAATTGCTTTTGGCTCTGATGGATGGCTCGCAAGTTTACATATAGATGGTGTTGACTTGTCCATGAAATTGATAAGTGATAAGCTAGCAACACCACGAGTGGCTGTTGAAGAACAACCGAAATCAGAACCTCCTCCAACAGAGGAACCCATATCATTACCTGAAGGCTGCACTCAAGTTTATATTAGTCACATTGATTCACCTGGATTATTCTGGTTACAAATGTTGGACAAAGTTGAGAAAATTGAAGAAATTCAGGCAGAATTACAAGCCAATTTCGAAAGTTACAAAGACATTGAGAGTCGAGACTTGGGTACATTATGTGTCGCTAAGTATAGTGCAGATAATCAGTGGTATAGAGCTGAAATACTTGATTCCGATGCGGATATCACTACTGTTCGCTTTATTGATTACGGTAATACAGATGTTTTGGACAATGAGCCTGGTTTGATAAAAGTCATGCCAGATAATTTAAAGGAAATAGAACGTTTTGTTTTGAAATCTAGTGTTAACGCCATACCTACTGGTACTGGACAGTGGTCTGAGCCAGCTTCTGACTACTTCACGGAGCTAGTAGGCGACCTCTCCGTGCCTGTAGACGCACGCATCGTTCTCAAAGATACATTGACTTATGTTGATATCTATGTTAATGGTCAAAATCTCACAGACAAATTGGTTAGCGAGGGTCACGCAACAAGGTCCGAGGAACCAGAATGTGGAGATTTGCCATCATGCTTTGCAAGTCACGTTAATTCTCCTTCAGAATTCTGGATACAACTTGAAAGTGCAACTCCAGACTTGCAAGCTATGGAAGCAGCCATGGTAGATGCTGAAAATTTCCCTGAACTGACGGATAAAGAAGAAGGTGTAATATGTGCAGCCAAGTACCCAGAAGATGGAGAATGGTACAGAGCTCAAGTTATTGTAGATGGATCGGAAGGTACGGAAGTGCTTTTTATGGACTATGGCAATGCCTCGATTGCAAATGAGCTCCGTAATCTTCCCGATGAACTTAAATTAAAACCGGCTCTATCAAGGAAATGTGCCCTTCAAAAGCCTCGAAATATAAAGTCATGGTCTCGAAAGTCAGAAGTAAAATTTAATGAATTAGCTGCCGAGGGTGCTACTATTTTTAATGTCCAATTTATAGCAGCCGGTGATATATCCATAGTCGAATTGTACCTTGAAGGTAAATCTGTCACTGAAGAATTACTAGGGCTTTGCGATGACCAACCACCTCCTCCTGAAAGACCCACACCCGTTGGACAAGATTTACACTCTAACGGCAAAGTATGTTATGTAAATTCAGTTGACGAATTTTATGTTCAATTAAATGATTCTGTGTCTAATCTTGATAAAGTCATAGAGAAATTGGAGATTGCAGAAGAATTTGATGAAGTGATAGATCTGCGAGTCGGCTCATTATGTGCTGCGTTTTGGTCAGAAGATGAACATTGGTATAGAGCAAAAGTATTAGAATTCTGTGACGTAGGTTACCATGTCCAGTTCATAGATTACGGAAATAAAGCAAAATGTGAGGAGTTTAGACAACTTCCTGAAGATATTGCTTTAATAGATCCTTTAGCTAAGTGTTGTCGTTTAGCTGGGGTGCCAAATGATACCAGCTTACATGAATCTGGACGAAATAAACTTGACGAATTCGCAGCTGAAGATGCGACATTCGAAATAGAATTTTTAGATAGCACCAAGGAACCAATTCTTGTTAAAATGTTAATTGACGGAAAAGATGTAACAACTACTTTCTCAAATGAGGCAACAAATATCGAAAGTGTAAATATAAGTGGAACTGAAAAAACTGACTTAGTAATATCAAAATGTAGTAATTTTGCTACAAATCTAGAGGAAACTACCCTTACTGCCGAAATTAAATGTGACAATGATGTAACAGATATTTTAACTTCAAGCAACTCAGAAAAACCATTGACTGAATTGAGCGAAGAAAAAGATACTACCGAACTTAACACTTCATTACCAGATCTTGATGAGAGCTTAGACAGTACTGGTACAGTTATCGAGAACAAGTCCTTTGAAGAAAAAGCAGATTGTGCAAGCGACGTTTTTTTGGAAAAAGAAAGCACTAAAGAAGAAATTTTAAGTTCTTCAGTTAATAATGAATTCACAGATATTACACATAATGAATCCACAGATATTACAGAAATTTTAAGTTCTTCAGTTAATAATGAATTCACAGATATTACACATAATGAATCCACAGATATTACACATAATGAATCCACAGGTATTACACTCAAATCAGAGGAAACTGTAACAACACCCGATAGTGATGAATCTAAAAAAGATGAGTCTATTTCAGACACTGGGTATGCAAGTGCAGTAGATCAAAAGGTTTCTAAAAAAGATTTAGGGTCGTCAAACGAATCTGAATCACCCAATGACACAAAATTGTCAAAGGAATTAGTAGAATTTGAATTAGAATCGTCAAGTAAAGAAACCGAAAGCATCACTGTTGCAGGAGAAAGTTTAGTTGAAGATAAAGCTAAGGCTGTTGTGGCTGATGGAAAATCAGTAAGCACAGAGGTACACAATACTGAAAAAAGTGAAAGTGAAAAATAACTATGTATATTTAGTGTTATTTAAATATCATTGACCTTTTAAAGCAATATAAAGATTATTATGTTCCAGAACATTTCAAAAGTGTTTGTACCATTTGTTTCTTAATGACTGGATTTCCTTACAGTTGTGTATGTCATAACATTTTTTTAAGCTTAATATGTTTAAGCCTGTGTTGTTAAATTTATTATTTAAGGTTTATTTTTATAACTTTATAAGAAAAGACATATTCCTGATTTTCAAATGCCCAGTTAATAGATTAATGTAGTGTTTCATTTGGAATTATCTTATATCGAATCATAAAAATACTCATTATTAGTTATACTTTGATACCTTGATGTATTCAGTGTCCACGGTTAATATCTCACTACATTCCTCAATATTTAACGTGTATCTTATAGAACCAATACCCCTTTTTGTTAAAATTGCTGATACTCTAATAATATAGTGCTTGCTGATTCAGTAGACATATATTATAGTAAGTAAACGAAGTTGTGTATTTACCCAAATAATATTATAGTCATATGTTTTATTCAAAGTTAAAAATAAACTATGAATGTGTCCATTTTTTTTTCGTGGTTTGCCTTAATTTTGCAACTTTTTTTTTTCCTACCTATGCTGATAGCCTTGAGAGGCTATTTCAGCTTACCCTAGCCTGTGTAGGTGAGCTCGCGGGGCTCAAACCGGAGAGTTGCTAACACTGACCCTAGGAAGAGCAGTGCTTCGCAGAATCTACCACCCGATCGGAAGCGCGACCCACTGAGAAGATCCGGCGAGAAACTCAGTAGTTATAGTTTATTAACATGACCACCATAATATGACAACTCTTATGCCGCAATACAACTTAGCCATGGGGTAGGCGTTCCAACAACTTCGATTTTAATTCAAGTTAGCTGCGAACAAAGAAGCAATAACGTTTGTGGCTCGTGCAATTTAGGCTAGCTTTTTGGCTCAAAGGATCATCATAGGTGTTTCTTAGACATTATACAAAGCCAGCCCTCACATTAAAATAGGTATGACTATCATCAACCTATCCTTCTCAATTAAACAGACCATTGCCTCGCGAGAGATATACGCAAGATTGGTATCCGCTAGTGTGGACTAGCAAGCATTAGTACTTAAGAATAGACAAGGGAATTGGGCAGGAAGATAGTTGACCGTAACACTACTACAGAGGTAGTAGTAGCTTCAGGAAACCAGGGTTGTATACCTGCATCTAAATGATGGGCAATCTGTTAACCAGTTTCTATTAGGTATCTATATAAATAAAAATGAATTGCTGTTCGTTAGTCTCGCTAAAACTCGAGAGCGGCTGGACCGATTTGGCTAATTTTGGTCTTGAATTATTTTTACAAGTCCAGAGAAGGTTTAAAATGTAGATAAATATGAAAATTCTCGAAATTAAATAAAAATGACAATTTTGTTTTCCTTTGATGTGTCCCCTGTTGGACGGATTCCTTTTGTTGGTTTTAAGTTTATTTAATACAAAAGTTTAGGTATTTTATTTATCGATTAAGGTACTACGAAGTCTGCCGAGCCAACTAGTATGTAATATAAATCGTATAAAATTTTGCCAAAATACCAGTTCCTTGTATAAGATCTTTATATTTTATAATATAATATCTATGCTTTTTTTATTACTTAGATGGGTAGACGAGCTTACCGGAGCAACGTAGATGCTTCTACTCACCTTGAGACAAGAGTTCTAAGGTCTTAGTTGTAACAGTACAACGGCTGCTCCACCCTTCAAACCGAAATGCATTACTGCTTCACGGCAGAAATAGGCAAGAATATTATGCTGGGAGCGCCTGAGCCAAGTGTCGTGGATTTGTTAAATTAACGTTCAAGCTTAGTCGTAAAAATGTTAGCTCATTAATTGTTTAAAATTTGTTTAATTCTTTTTAATTTTATTCAATGTTTTCTTCTTTCTTTCAGACGGCAATAGGTTCCTTACGACGCGATTGTTGTCATCGCCAAGGTTATAAAATCAAAAACTACTATTTGTACTTTATTTTTATAATACATAGAAAAGGAAAACTTTCATCCCAATTTATTGAAGACTCAAATGAATCCACTTAACCTCATTTTGCTGTAAATAACTTTTCAAATAACAGAATACGAGAAAAAATAAGACTTGGCTTAAAAGTCTCGCTATCAGACCGTAAAATATTTTAAGTAAAAAAAAAATGCTGTATGTCACCTGCCGTCAAAAAAATGTCAACAACTCCTTTAATTTATCGTAATTAATCCAATATGTACATGATATTATTATAAATGCTGTAGTTACCATAAATATTATGAATGCTATCCTTACCCTTTGTCATTTCTGTGAAGCACACGGACCGCGATCTTTATTTTGCACGTTTACAACTGATAATGACGAACACATTACGGAACCTTCCAAAGCAAGTGTTCAGTGTACAGGCTGTGCCTCGTTAGGTCCTGAAACTGTTTTAAAATCTACAGACGACGATGGCACCATATATTGTAGCAGAGAATCTGTACCCAGTGCCGACGTTACGTCATTTCTGAGGCAAGCTGCTATTCGAAGTATTACCTGTGAAGTAAGTATATTTCATAGGATTTACCTACATTAAATTGTTACTGCAGAAATATTTCGACCGTTTTCAATAACTTATCTTTTAGTATGCTTAGTATCAGAATCATATATTACAATATAATCACCTATATTTGTACATAAATAAATTTCTTGACAATGTAATACAATCTTACTTTAATTGGTCTCGTCCATTTCTTTATTATTATAATATTGATATCTAATGAAATTTATATAACTAGGTAAACTGGAGCAAGGATGGTGGCATAGTATATTTTAGTGAAGCACAAGGTCATGTGCTAAGCTTCACATTCCAGCTGTGCGATACACGAGCAAGAGGCCTCAAGCGATGGTTCTCTATACTGGTGCTTATGAAAGACAAGATGTTGCTCTTGAACATTACTCCAATGCTCTCTGAACACATGAAAGTAGGTTTATTGTAAGTGCTACATATTTGTGAATCACTAAAGAAGAAAGTTATATTAAATTCTTATTATTCTAAGAAAAATTGATTACATCTATTATTTTAACAATAAACAATCAATTTTTTAATATCTTTACCATGTGATCGGTCCTTCATGATGTGACTCTTGGTATTCAAATACCACTGACAGATACCCATTTAAAAATAAAAAACCTAATTTACAAAAGTTCATGAATGACTTCTGCAGTGAAGGAATATCACCATACAAAAAGCAGACTTGCAGTTTTTTTTCTTTTTTTTATTGCTTTATTACTGGTAGGGCGTTTTGTGGCCCTACACTGACAGGTACTAACATCGTGCCTATTTCTGCTGTAAAGCTGTAATGCATTTCAAATTAAAGGGTGAATCAGCTGTTGTACATTAAAAACTGGGACTTAGAACTCATTTTTCAAGGTGCATTAATGGCGATATTAACGTAGGAAGCTAAATTCATAGACCATTTTTTCCTAGGTGATCCGGAAGTCTCAAAAATGACTGCAAAAGATACCATTTACTACATACACTCTTAAAAGAAATCCATTCCAAAAAAAACTCAACTGCTTTGAATGGATTATCTGCTTGATCCATGAATGTGCACTTATTTCATTGTTGCAATAATATTTTCAGAACATAGCTGCAGAGTTACAAAAATTGGCTGTTGCAGTTTTTGATGAGGAACAAAAAATTTGCTCACAGAGGGCATTGAGGTTAAGAACAGGGAGAAATGATTTTGGTCAGTCAAGGTCACTTGTTCAGTTGACAGGTAGGTACTATTCAGTTTTTTTCCTAAAACAAACATTTTGTAAAATCTGTTATCAAAACAAAACCTGCACTGCTTACTACACGCATCTCAGTAATCAATGTTTTCAGGAAACAAAGAAATATTCAAACTGTTGCACTCACATTTTTCATGGATACTAAAGGCAGGGGCATGTGTGTTTTCTGAAAATCTATATACCAGTCAAGATTTATTAAAAAAGATAAGTCCCATTATCCCAATTCTGGAGTCAAACTCAAGTGTTATTGAAAGTAAAGCAAAGTACATCCCTATGAGAGTTTTGGAGTCTATGTTATCCAATAATGTGTTCAGAGTAATGTTATTCTGTACATTGACCGGAGTGAATGTGAGTTTTTGAACTTTTTATTATATTAATCACATTATTAATATTCACAATATAAACGAACAAGCTCGTATTTAGTATTAGTTTAACTTTATTCTGTAGAATCTGTACTGCTGTTTTTTTGTTGCTGTTCTTTTTTAAACCTGTTTAGAGCATGGAATAGTTTATAATTAACTAATATTACCAAAACAATAACATGTCTCAAGTAGTGCCATTTATGCAAGTAACCAAACAAATGGGTACACACTATTACATGGTCTATAATTTGGTCTGCCAATCTACAGCAGTTAAAAGGTATATAGATTCTAAAGCTAATCTTTTTTTAACATATACCAAACTTCTCAATTCAATTCATTGGTGGCATTTATTCAATATATATTTTTTTTATTTGTTTCAGATACAAATGCAAACCAATTTCAGGGATCCAGAAGAAATATTAATAAGTTTCAGGAGTTTACTACCAGAATTTGATTCATCAGCCAAACATAAAAAACCGAATACAGACCCTTGTATTATATCTGAAATAGAACATGGTAATTTTATTTCCAAATGGATGCAAACTTTACCTGTTAATTGTGAGTTTATTACTATTGAAATTAACTCAGTACTCACGAATAACTAAAGGGTTATATAATGATAAAAGCTATACATGATATGATTTATTATGACATGAATTATTCCAGGTCCAACGCTGATGAAAAAAATTGAAATTGCAATAAAAAATGAACATTTTAATGAAGCAGTTCTTCGCCAACATGTCTTATCATTGGTTTTACAATGGCAAGGGTAAATTGAAAAACTCAGTCCATTGGTTTGATACAAAAAACTAAAATATGGGTTTTGAATAGAATTTTTCTAATATTTGTTTTTTTGTCTTTGTTACTTCCAGAATAGCACAAGCTGTAAAATCAACCATGAAATCATCAGACAACAAAACAGATTCTGTTAAATTGAAACAAATACTCGGTGTAGCTCAGTATGATGAAACATTACTTAAATATTGGATGGATGCATTCTGTAAATAAAATGCCGATGTGTAGTTATTTAACTAATATTTTCTGAAATAATTAACTTATTTTTGTATTTATTTTTAAGGTGTTATACAAAGCTGCATGTTCACTTAATAATAAAAATGTTTACTATTATCTACTGTTGTAGTTTTTCATCTTTACGAAATTAATTATTTCAGTGATAAAAAATATCATATCAGTTTAGTTATTTCCAAACTAAGCTGTCCTTTGTAAGAGGTTTAAAACTTTAATATGATGAATGCCAAACATAATAAGAATAGAAAATGTGTTTAGGCCAGTGGGTCATAACGTAAACCCTGTGACTGCCAATGAGTCTAGTCCATTGGTCCTGAAATCTCTACTAATTGGTATTCATTGTTTCCGTAAGTCACGTTATTTTTTGTCAATATTCGGAATATTCACGTCTATGATTTATGGACACTTGATATATTGGTGCGGCCTTTACTGTGGCCACATGGTATCCGTCATAGTGTTCAATGAGTTAAACAATAGTAGTGTCAACAATTTAGCTGATAAATATTGCTTATTATATAGAGAATTGGCAATCACCCACATCAAGTTGATATCATTTACATCGTCTGCCTATCAAAGGTAATTAATTATTATCTACTATAAAGACAACACTAGATCAATTAGTACATATAAAAGGCGAAATATTTGTTAGTGTTGTTGGGACTATTCAATTATAAAATAATACCAAGTAATTAGGGTGTGTAGTCCTTATATTAAAAATTAGACATTAGCACGACGACTGGGCCTTGCTTTTTCATGTCCCTTGGTGCGAACATAGGGTTTAGTGTGAGAGCGCGGTGCTCCTGGAGCAGGGCCAAAGTGACGCACTGCCTCACGAGCATTTCGCTGACCTTGTACCAGTACTGTCTTCTTGCCAGTCGGAGCACGAAGAGCCAGCTGATCAAAAGTAAGAATTTCTCCTGTAAATACAGAAAATTGAAATCAATTTTCATTACAGATACACAATCAAACAGAAACATCATAACATCTTTGAAAGATGTTTTAAAAAAATTGACATGGCCTAACTTACGTTGCAAAGATTAAAATTAATATTTATTTACATAAAAATATACATTGCCATATGTTTGATGGACCATCAACAATTGATAAACCAATCTGGCAAATTTCTTTTTTTACTGATCAGAATAAACTCTGTAATAGTATCTCTGTAATAATTTAAATTAGAAATAGTTTGTTAGTAGTAGTGTAGAACCATTAAGAAAATATTTTTTTTCTTACAATTGGCTTCACTGGTGCTCATAAAATAAAATTATAGTGTTGATCTATAACAAATCTCTTTTTCAAATTAATTATCAAATTTGCTGATTTCGTTTGTGTAGACATCAAACCTATGATCTTATATAAAATTATTAAATAATCTTTTCACATCCAACAGACTTGTTATTATTTACTCCTTTTAAAGTATCAGAAGAGTTATTTTATGGACTTAACAATAATAGATAGTAAAATGGGAGTCTCTAAATATACATTGAACACAATATAATAATAGTGAGCTAAAATTGTTAGTTTTGAGCATGAGATTTATAACATGGATAAGTTCAACTGTTTTTCTCAGAATCTAATAAACTTGTATTGCCTTATATAGTAAATTCTGGACGTTAATTTACTTTTTCGGAGATTCCTGAACGATTTTATTTCTGTTATTTCTATGATTTATAACCTTATTGGCAGAAAAAACAAACATCTCACCTCCAGCAGCCAAAATGCGTGCACGAGCTTTTTCGGTAACATGAAGAGCAGCCACCGTCATCTTCGGTATCTTGTACAGTCTCACGTCATTTGTGACTGTCCCCACTACCACGGCAATCAAACCCTCACGAGTTGGCTTCTTCATGTGGCGCGCCAAACGAGACACAGAGATTGGTGGCCGGTTGATACGGCTCATAAAGAGCCGGCGTAGAACGATCTGATTGAATTTGGCATTTGTACGTCTGGCCAAGTATCTGTAAAGCTGTGGACAAATAGTTGAGGTTATCGTAGGTCTACAACAATTTTCGCAGACAAACTATGTGAGTATAATAACAAATAAAAATTAAGTAACATCGCTAGTTATAATGAAACATTTAATCGTAAGTACCTTTACAAGTAACCTCAAGTAAATATCTTGAGATTTAACTTCGGTGCGCCGAACTTTCCTGTCGTGTTTATGATTGATGTCAATACCCTGAAATATTCATAAGAACACATAATTATCACAGTTTCGTAATTAAAATCACTTTGAACTTTCACATCACTGTATTTTCACTTGGATTTTTAAAGATTTATTTATTTATTCGTTTGGCAAAACTCACCATCTTGACAACCAGAAGAAAAAGAGACTATAGACAATAGAACAGAGTATCCTAGATACATCAAAACGTTTGACAGTTTATGTTGGTGTTACCAATAAAATATTTGGTGTGGCAATCTTACACTCTGGCAGGAGCGAAGTTGTTGAATTATTTTATTTTGTTTATTTAATAGTGTTTCTTCATGTTTAAATTTGTAATTTTGGAGGTTTTATTAAACTTTCATTTAATCATTGCAATTATTCTGCGATTTTTCCTCACGTACTGGTGACTGTCCTCGTCGATCTTATAGATGACGACGACGACTTCGATCTAACCAATAGATATACTCACTGAGTTTTTCACCAGTTCTTCTCAATGGGTCGCGATTCCGATACTGTCGTAGATTCTGCGAAAGACTCCTCGTATTGGGGTTAGTGTTAATAAATCCAAACAGGTTAAGCTCGTGAGTTCACCTACCGTTCACACGTAGTTGGAATAGACTCTCAGGCTACTAGTGATTAGGTAAGGATAAAAAGGGCAGACTTCGAACTCAAAGTGTCAAGAGCATTGAATAAATGAGTTTCAGGGCTTCGACGCAAGTTTTTGAGCAACGGGGAGGTTTCAGTGAGAGCAGTCAGTTCAACTGCGACAAGCTCCGCTTACCATTCCTAACACGTAGGTGGAAGTCAGGCGGTTTCCTCCTGACCAAAAAATAAAAAAGATTTATTTACGTTAAAGTTATCATCAAGATTGTTTTTTCATCATTTCTTATTATTATTTACATATATGTATATATTTAAACATGCGGGGATCTTTTAAATTTAAAACAAACTGAATCCAATATGTCATTCTCCTCATAAAGATCTTTTTAATGTCACTCTCGCGGTTATGAAACAAGTGAGGAAAGACTTTAGTTATGTCAACAGGACAATTTAGTTTCGACCGCCGTTTTTTCAAAAGGGATGGAATTTAATACGAAACATAAAAAATTAACAAAAGCCAAAAATTCTGTACGTACGCCTTCAATTGCGAGATCACGTTTAAACAAAAAGAAAATTATCACGAGACAAAGAAAATGTGCGTGTCTTCCTGAAAATTATTCTGTGGTAGAATTCCCAGCAATTTGGAATGAACTACGACAAAACGGTCAGCTCTGTGATGGAACGATAATGTGTAGGGATTTGAAAGCAATAGGTGTTCATCGCGCCATACTATCAGCAGTTAGCCCATATTTTAAAGCTATATTTATAAACTCTTTAAACAAAGGTGAACCTGAGGAAACTAAAATATTTGTAGATGTTCCTAGTTTCTATATGAATCTAATACTGGATTACGCTTATACTGGAACTTGTAAGGTTACAGCAGAGAATGTTGAGTATCTTCTGCCATACGCAGACAAATTCGATGTTGTGGGAGTTATCCAACTTTGTTGCCAGTACTTACTGCAAGAATTAAAACCTCATAATTGCCTAGGAATATTTAAATTTGCTCGATATTATTTTTGCGGTGAATTAGAAAAGAAGGGGAAAATGTTTATAAGACAGCACTTTAATAAGATACTAAAGGAATGTAATGAATTTAAATCGCTTACTTTCGAAGAATTGGAAGACATTTTACGAGATGACGAACTGAACGTTAAAAATGAAGAAATTGTTTTTCAAGCTTTAAAGACTTGGGTCGAACATGACTTAGAAAACAGGAGAAAGTACATTCCGTCATTGCTTTCATGCGTTAGATTTGGTCACATAAGTTTTAAATATTTCAAATCAAAAATATTACAATGGCAGCCAGTGGTTGATGATGTGGTAAATATATATTTCTCTATTTTGAGCTTAGAAATGATTAATAAATGTATAATAGTTAATTTAAAAAATTATTACAGAAATGCCAAGAAGCGTTATACCCAGCAGTGGTGTTTTTAACATTACTAGATTCAAGACCTGGTATGGAAGCAGATTTAAACGATCCACTGGCGCGACCTAGAATTCCTTTTGAAATACTTTTTGCTGTTGGAGGATGGAGTGCTGGTAGTCCTACGAGCTTTGTTGAAACATACGATACAAGGTTGATTCAGTATTTAATTTATGCTTGCAATACTTACTCTAGATATATAATATAATTATTGAGTTATTTGACAGCAAACAACTATAAGCAACTAATCGACAATGATATCGTTCATTAGCTGTTTTAAAGAGTAAACCCAACTATTTTTATTGAAAACCATTCAAACCTTTGTCGTTTCAACTATTAAAACTTATTAGGTACTGGTCGAATAAAGACATACATAAAAATTCGCACAAACGCGAGTATGTTGTTTTGTAGGTCAAGCATGTTGCCGTCATAGATCCTGTGAATATTTGTACTTGAATCTTTTCTGTATTTGCTACTTGGATGCGGGCGCACATTTTCTGCCCGTGCATGTTCGGTTTTAACATTGCTCTAAGAGTTTCGTCAAGTTCGAAAGCCTGCGTAGTGTGGAACAAAATGTAAACTCAGAGAGCTATTCTGAGCTTTTATTAATAGAGCCTCGCCAAAGCATAAATAAAATAAATTAAATAATCGTATAATTGATGTAGGAGATGATTTAACCTGCAACTGAAAATTATTTCTCTTGATGTTCTGCTTTTGGAGGCATGATAAAAGCTTCATATATTTCAGAGCTGACCGCTGGTTTCTTTCAATTCACATGGACCTTACTCCACGTGCTTATCACGGCCTCTGCACACTGAACAATCTGATTTATATGATCGGAGGTTTTGATGGTAGTGACCATTTTAATACGGTACGTTGTTACGACCCTGTCACTAATACGTGGCACGAACGCGCCTGTATGTATCAAGCCAGATGCTACGTCAGCGTTGTCGTGCACGGTCAGTATTAGATTAAAATCATAGGGATATTGATAGTTTTATGAAATTTTATCAATTTTTGTAAATTTGACAATACTTAACTATGAACATTCGTGTAGTATTTTAATTTAGGTACATTGATTCTCAGCGGTATTCGGTATATTGCAACAGTTCCCTGCTAGAGTATGTGATTCTCGATCCAAAAAATAATCGATAATCGTCTTTATTATTTTCCCTAATATTGGTTTTGCTTGATTAAAATGTAGTCTAATTTAGAGAGGTCGCTCGTGAGATTCGATTTATTCTTTAAAGATTTTATACCTAGGTAACTAGACTTTTAAGCCACACTATTTTCAACTGATAAAACCATAGGCAATTAATATTTTTCTGTTAGGTTAAGGTACTAGTTATCAGTCTTTGTATACCTACTTTTTTATATTCGAACTTGTTTTCTATTTAAATCTTAAATTATTAAATATTTATATTAGACGGTATGATATACGCACTTGGAGGATATAATGGACGTACTCGTATGGCTTCAGTAGAACGGTACTATCCTGACAGAAATCAATGGGAGATGACCACTCCAATGAATAAACAGCGCTCAGACGCTAGCGCGGCATCACTAGGTGGCAAGGTGCATATTTTACTAAATATAAAAATTATTTCGTGGCATAGACTAGCGGATAATTAATTTCAGATGTGTTGTCATATTACTAGTTCTTGGTGGATCCTGGGATAGCTAGTCTTAGTAATTATATACCTACCATACTTATTATAAATATTTAATACAAACAAACCCACAAAATTAGCTTTTAATCTAGTATTGTTGATTATAATAGTGGAAATAAATTTTATTGACTTCTTTTAATTTGAATAGTAGTAGTTCGACCGTTATTCCAGTAGCCTCAAAATCGCCATGTGCCTACCTATTTTATTGTAGTGATATATAGGCTTAAGTAACTAATTAATACATTTGAACTTAACAGCCCTTTAGAAGAAATTGTTCTAGATTTTTAATCGTTAGTGTCTGTGTGCTTAGTGCGAGCTTTTAACGTTCTCGATAGCGTAAAAGTTAACTCAAATTTGTGTGGAGTTCGAACAACGCCCCTAGCGGCAAACGTTCCAACTCCACTCTTCCATTTACTGGTAGTAGGACCTCTTGTGAGTCCGCACGGGTAGGTACCACCACCCCGCCTATTTCTGCCGTGAAGCAGTAATGCGTTTCGGTTTGAAGGGTGGGGCAGCCGTTGTAACTATACTGAGACCTTAGAACTTATATCTCAAGGTGGGTGGCGCATTTATCACTTACCCACTTGACACCAGGTGGGCCGTAAGCTTGTTCACCCATCTAAGCAATAAAAAAAAACTAAGCACACTGATTTATTACTTTTATTATCCAGATTTATATAGTGGGCGGTTTTAATGGACAAGAAGTATTGAGTTCTGCAGAGGTCTTTGACTCAGAGACGCGTCAATGGAGTTTCATCAGGTCGATGCTCAGTCCTCGCTCGGGAGTTAGTCTCATCGCCTACAGGGAATGCTTATTCGCGCTAGGTGGCTTCAATGGATACAGTCGTCTGAATACTGGTGACTTTAGTTTTACTACATTAATATCAATTATTTCCAAATGATAGTTTTAATACCACATTTAATTTTGAATCGCGCTATTGTGATTTTAGTCACTGTTTGGAGGTACACCTTCACGGGTGTGAGACTTATTTTATTTATTGGTCCCACGAGTCATTTTATACCAATCATACACACGATCAGATTAAAATGACACTACGTCCCTTGTTTGCCGCAGACCAGCGGCTCTCAATCTTTTTTACACAGTTAGAACACTAACATATTCTTAAAAAATTTGCGACACCCTCAAATAAGTGCAATATTTTGATAGCATCAAAGTGAAGTGAAGTATGTATAGGTAGGTACATTTATTAAACGTAGTTGTACAGTTAATATCTAGTAAACAGTTGTATATTTACACTATGTAAGTAGCACAGAGATGCAAATTCGCAAGATCACCTTAGGCAAAAATATCATATTTGTAAATATCGCGAGACACATGCCAGGAGCTTACGACCAACCAATGTGTCGCGACACGGTAGTTGAGAGCCGCTGTCGTAGATAATAGACTTAATGGGGTTGATGAGTTGATTTAATTTTTAAATTATTATTTAACAAAGGTGAGAAATTTAATCCACAACGCGGCGGCGAATGGCAGGAAGTAACGGAAATGTTTAGTGCAAGAAGTAATTTCGCCACGGTTCTGTTGGACGATATGATTTTTGTCATCGGAGGATTTAATGGTATGAAATAATACTATAGGAAACTATTCGCATAACTTTCAATAGGACCATCAGGCTAGATATTTTATCTGAAATAGGTTTATTTGTCTTTTTCTTAGCATTTATATCTAGGCTATACTCGTAATTCTTACATCAAATATATTTAATATTCAGAAACAGGTTATTTACTTCAGAGGAATATATTAGCAAAAAGAATTTTATCCTTGACTATTTAAAAAACCGTCCTTTTTTATTGCATAGATTGGTGGACTAGGTCACAGCCCATCTGGTGTTAAGTGGTTACTGGAGTCCATAGACATCTACAACGTAAATGCCGCCACCCACCTTGAGATATGAGTTCTAAGGTCCCAGTATAGTTACAACGGCTGCCCCACCCTTCAAACCGAAACGTATTACTGCTTCACGGCAGAAATAAGCAAGGCGGTGGTACCTACCCGTCCGGACTCACAAGAGGTCCTATCACCAGTAATTACGCAAATTATAATTTTGCAGGTTTCATTTTTATTACACGATGTTATTCCTTCACCGTGGAAGTCAATCGTGAACATTTGTTAAGTACCTACCGATTTCATGAGAAAAATTGGTACCCGTTTGCCGGATTAGAGCACTGGTGCATCGAAAGATACGAATGCATCAGAGGTTTTACCCTATAGGCCACGACGACTTCAATTATGTATTCACAGTTTATTCACAGTAATACATGTTATGTTCCCTACTTGACAAATAATTAGTACCTACGGAAAGTATTGATAATAAGAAGATGTAAAAATATCTAGACGCAATGTCTGATTTCCATTATTTCAATTTGTAAATAAAAAAATGTCTGTTTAATTTAATATTTATACGATATTTTTTGGAATAAGATTTATTTAACTAATTGATATAAAAAAAACAGCAATTATTACAATAATACACCCGGCTTTGTGCTTTTGGCGCTATAATTTGATAACTTCTGTAATTCTCAGTGTTTCATTAAGTTGCTGTTTGATTATTTTTTTGATAATTTCTGTAATTCTCAATGATTCAATATGTGGCTGTTTGATTTTTCTTTGTTAATTTCTGTAATTCTCAATGATTCATTAAGTGGCTGTTTGATTTTTCTTTGTTAATTTCTGTAATTCTTCATTAAGTGGCCGTTTGATTTTATTTTTTTGATAGCATCTGTATTTCTCAATGTTTCATTAAGTGGCTGTTTGATTTTTTTCTAGGGTCCACAACAATTCCTCTCGTGGAATGCTACGATGGAGATACTCTAGAGTGGTACGACGCCGCTCCAATGAACTTGAATCGTTCAGCGCTCAGTGCTTGTGTTCTTGCCGGTTTACCGAACGCGCGTTCCTTCTCTTATTTGGCGAAAGCTGTGCCTGCCGCTGGTGCTGATCAAGCTCCTCAATCCTAACAATTACGAAGTCATTTAATTCCAACAATTTAAAATTTACCTTTGATGGTGTTGAAGTGGTGCAATCGAAATGCAATAATTTTTGGATTAATTATGAAAATCATCAACTGTATTAGTGACTTTTTTGTAATTATGCGATTGTTTCAAATATCTGTGATATTTTAATTGTATATAGGACTTTCTGTAAATCTTTTATCGAATCTTAAATCATGGTGCATCCTTATTTTATTATCAAAATGCTAATCGTTTATACTTTTTTTTTTGTTTTGAATACGTGCGTCTTTGTAAAATAAATGTATCTAATTGTTCGGTAAATTTGTGAGATAGTTTTTCTGTGATAAAATTGAAATTTAAAGGTTATTTTTGAAACTTATTTTTATACTTGACAATGTTAAAATCATGCAGCAGATCGGCGCAGTGTGAGGAGAAATCTGTGATATTTTTTATTTGTTTTTAAAATGGTAAAAACATGATAAATGAAATTTTTGTAAACCGAGAAATATAAATATGAAATAAAGAAAAACATTTATATTATTAAAGTATTTTATATATACATATTATGTATTATAACAAGAAAACATTTATTAAGCGTGATCATCGAAATCTGCATATAAATTACAATAAATGTGTGTGGTGTCAAGGATGGGATAGCCATTAAAGACTTCGAACTCAAGTCTCAAGGTGGTTACAGCATTCACTCTATGTGGCCTGTGGACCTTCAGTAAACATTGGGTACCTCCAGGCAATTCATGATTCGCTCTAGGATCTAAGTTATTTTGAAGCTTCGCTTCCTGAAACTGTGTGCTTATTCCGTGTATTTTAACGTTCTCGATAGCGTAAAAGTTAACTCAAATTTGTATGGAGTTGTCACTAGGGGCGCTGTTTCAACTGCACACAAATTTTTGTTAACTTTTACGCTATCGAGAACGTTAAAAAACTCGCACTAAGTACACTGAACTAATATTAAATAGTTGTATGCGACTGGCATTTGCGTGAAAGGTGTGGCACGAGGGTGTGATTAAGAAGAATTGGTGATTTTCATGGCAGTTCCCGTAACATTCTGAAAATATCGTCATTCGGTGGGATTGATATTTCGAGCTCTGTGAACTCTGATCTTGAGGCTAAATTCGCTTCTATAATATTGAGACTACTAACAGATACCAGACTTGTAGGTATCATACAAAGCAGAGGTTCGGTGAAACGGTCCTTGCGCCGGAGCTCCCAAATTTTTTTTTTTTTATTGCTTATATGGTTGGACGAGCTCACAGCCCACCTGGTGTTAAGTGGTTACTGGAGTCCATAGACATCTACAACATAAATGCGCCAACCACCTTGAGATATAAGTTCTAAGGTCTTAGTATAGTTATAACGGCTGCCCCACCCTTCAAACCGAAACGCATTACTGCTTCACGGCAGAAATAGGCAGGTGGTGGTACCTACCCGTGCGGACTCACAAGTGGTCCTACCACCAGCTATTATTTGTCTCCATGCAGAACAGGGTTATTGGGGTTGTTGATAATGTTGATCATTTGAAACCTATGGGTTATACACTGCTGCTATGTACTCTTCATTAAGTGAGTCGTGGAGTCGTGTTCCTTTCAAGACAATAAAAGTAGGGCCACAAATTTCTAAATTTTGATAATAAGGGGTTTTGTTTAAATTTAGAATAACAAAATGTAATTGATTGAAATTTTGAAATATGTACCATGTTATGGCATTAATAGACATTGGCATGTTAGTCATTATCATGACAGGCATGCTGCACTCACGAGAGCGTAACATTAATAAAATTTAATGTTGCAACGTATGTACTTATAAGTGTAATATAATAGGACTATTGTTTCAACTAGTTTTCATTTCTATAGACGCATGCTTACGCGTTTAACTCGTTTATTTTAGTTACAGTGTAGACAGACACCTTTAAAGACAATATGGGTAACAACATTTCAACTGGAACGGCCCTTTGATTGAGGCATCATGTTCTTAAGAAATTTATTAATAGAAAATAAAAAAATAAATTTACTAATCAAATTCAAATTCTAATTCAAAGTCATTTATTTCAACTTAGATGTCAGCATAACACACTTGTTGAATGTCAAAATATAAATAACAATGTTAACTCTACCACCGGTTCCAAAAAAAGCCACAGTCCTAAGAAGAACCGGCGAAACAAACTCAGCGGGCTCTTTTTTTTTTCTTCACAATTTTTTTTTAATCTGTATTGATTCTGGAATTACAATATGCACAAACGAAACATTGACGATAGCATCGTAGTTAGAAATAAACAAAACAAGCCGAATCAACGGGGCACAAGACTTGAGTGGAGTGCTATCGTGCGTATTTACTACGAGGGGGGAGGGGACAGAGGAGAAAATACTGTTTTCCCCTCCCCGCTGACCCACCCGGGGAGTTTCCGTCTCGATCGAATCGCAAGTAAAGCGAGGGCGGCAGCGAAACTAAGCACTTCACATTTTTAGGCGTGCTGTTTTTATTCATCAATTAATATGGACTTAAAAGGAAAGGTTGCATTGATAACGGGCGCGGCTTCCGGCATCGGCTTAGCGTATAGCGAAGAATTATTAAAACAAGGTGCTAAGGTAAGAAATTAATGAAACATACGCTGCGTCACTTCACCACGATGTAATTTTAAGTTCAAGGTAACAAAAAAACTGTTGAATGAAGTACTTAGGTACTGTGCAAAGACGCTATGCACTATTTTGTACTATAAAATTGGACATTTTATCACTTGTGCCATCATTATTGATTTCTCAAATACTTTTATTTTTACTGTCTGAATCCGTTTGTATTGATTTTTGCCGGCGCANATACGCTGCGTCACTTCACCACGATGTAATTTTAAGTTCAAGGTAACAAAAAAACTGTTGAATGAAGTACTTAGGTACTGTGCAAAGACGCTATGCACTATTTTGTACTATAAAATTGGACATTTTATCACTTGTGCCATCATTATTGATTTCTCAAATACTTTTATTTTTACTGTCTGAATCCGTTTGTATTGATTTTTGCCGGCGCAATGCTCCGGTCATTGACATGATTTTTTTTTTCTTACCTTTGTATAAATTAGATTATATGGTACACTTAATGTGTTGATTAGAATTAGTAAACATATTCTGTTAATAGTAGACTTTAGTTTTGCTAGTAATACATTAGAATTTTAAAAGTAACATTGTTAGAATAGGTATTAAAATTGATAGTGCAGAGAGATTGATATCAAATATTATTGTTCATCGATGTCGAGAACTATACCTAGTACATAAATGAACAAAATTAAAAACAGTACCTAATTAATAATGTATAAAAAACATCACCGATAATATTACATTATATTATTTCTATGAAAATAGTTTTTTGGAAACCTTACATTTAAAATGGTTTTTTTTTAAATTAAAATAATAAAACCGATAGAGTATCTGTATAATTAATAGTGTAAATACGTGGGCCTAATGTTTGTTTTAAGCGAAGATGAAAGAAGGTGTTGTTAATTGTATATAATCTGTAATACACATTGCAGGTTTCCCTATGCGACATCGATTCGGAGCGCGGGGAACAAGTAACAGAAAAGCTCGCTTCAAAATATGGCCGAAAAAACGTTTTGTTTTGTCGATTAGATGTTACTGACTATCCACAATTTGAAGGTAACAAAATCACTACGTAGTATAAAACAAAGTCGCTTTCTCTGTCCCTATATGCCTATGTATGCTTAATTCTTTAAAACTACGCAACGGATTTTGATGCGGTTTTTTTTAATAGATAGAGTGATTGAAGAGGAAGGTTTATATGTATAATAACATCCATTAAATAGTGGAGAAATCAATAATATATTACAGTTTCCGAAGCGAAGCGAGGGCGGGTCGCTAGTTTTATATAAATAATACTAATACTAATATTATAAAGAGGAAAGATTTGTTTGTTTGTTTGTTTCGAATAGGCTCCGAAACTACTGGACCGATTTGAAAAATTATTTTTCCATTAGAAGCCGACATTGTCCCTGATGAACATAGGCTACTTTTTTAATTTTTTTTAATTATTTTTTTTTGGTTTCATGTGTGTTTTAAGGTTTCCGAAGCGAAGCGAGGGCGGGTCGCTAGTATATAACTAAACTTATGCATAACATAGGACTTAAAAAAGAAGACATTGATCAAGATTTGTAAATTATGTTTTATTATTATTATTTACTGAAAATAGCCCAAGATAGAGACACATGGTATTCTTTAGAGGAGGCCTTCACCTTCACTTGAGGAGGGTTCATGCAAACAAACTTCTATATTCACAATTCAAACTTTTTTTAAAAAGCGCTTTCTACATTTATACTTTTTAAATGAAGAGGAAGGAGGGAAGAGGCTGAAATACGTGTTAATAGCATCACCATTATTTTTTATCTTCTTTATATTTGAAATATGTATGTAACCTACTATTTGCATGGAATAAAAGGCTTATTTTTTTTAAATTATATTTTAAAATTTGCACCAAGGTAATATTAGAGACGTACCCGATTATTTTAAAAATAAACTGGCGTTCTCCGCTCCGGATATCCTTAGAGTTTTAGTACCAGTAATTTCTATAAATACTTCTTGAACAGTTAGGATGACGACAAGACATCGTATGTATTTTCATCTCGTTGTTGCATTATAAACAATGGATGCTATTTAATAACTTACGATAAAAGAGAATTAGGTTGTTGAAAATTAGCATTCGGCCATTTTATTAACACAGTCAAAACATTCCTTGCTTTTTTCCCCCCTACCTATTTTTTATTGCTTAGATGGGTGGACGAGCTCACAGCCCACCTGATGTTAAGTGGTTACTGGAGCCCCTACACATCTACGACGTAAATGCGCCACCCACCTTGAGATATAAGTTCTAAGGTCTCAAGTATAGTTACAACGGCTGCCCCCCCTTCAAGCCGAAACGCATCACTGCTTCACGGCAGAAATAGGCGGAGTGGTGGTACCTACCCGTGCGGACTCACAAGAGGTCCTATCACCAGTAAAGTAACCTAAGCTGGTAGCCTTCGGAGGCTATGCCAGCGTAACCGAGCGAGTAGGTGAGCTCACGGGGCTCTAACCTGAACAGATTCTTTGGAAATTAACAAATTGCTATATATTTTACATTACGCATTTATAGATTTCGTAAATACTAAAAGCATATAAGTATTTCACGGCCTAGTTTCTATGCAGTCAGGACTTGACAAACCGTTAGACGAAGTAGATAGGTAGATTGCAGTGCGCTTAGTGCGAGTTTTTTAACGTTCTCGATAGCGTAAAAGTTAGCTCATATTTGTATGGAATGCGATCGTTTGCCTGCGTTTGCCGCTAGGGGCGCTGTTCCAACTGCATACAAAATTGGGCTAACTTTTACGACATCGAGAACGTTAAAAAACTCGCACTAACACACACAGATAAATATTGCACGAAGGTAGATTAGAATTATAGTGTCGAAGCATTATTAGGTAGGGACAATTATTTTGCATTAGCATATATATTATATATGACATAGCCCGAAGAGTTATGAGATTGAAGTGGCTGTAGATAAAGCACAGTGGTGGGATCGAAAAACTCTGGAGTGCTGACCGCGCATCGTAAAACGCAGCGTGGGTCCCACGAGGTGGAACAACGACCTGTTAAAGATCGTGGGAATCCACTGGATGTGGACAGCGTGGCGTCGCTCATTGTGGTGAACCTTGGGAATACCTATTTCCAACGGTGGACGTTTATTGGCTGGTAGTGATTTTGATAATGAATTATCAAAAGCGGTATTGAAAGTCATAGAATGGTCATAGTAAATCGTAATGAACCTGTAAACGGTCAATCGGTAACGCGGTTCAATCTAAAAAAAGCCCCTTCTTTTGCCTATTCCGTGAGTTATATTATCGCTAGAAGACTTGTAGGTAAATTAGATGGGGTCAATAAACATAGTCAATAATCCGAGTAGTTTTTTTACAGTGAAAATGCCAATTTGCCAAATTACATTTAATCGTCATGAAAGCAATGAGAAATTTTCTGCTTATAAGTACTATATAATGCACTTTTGCAGAGGCATTTGTGATGACAGTAGAGGAGTTCAACCGGATTGACATTGTCATTAATAATGCTGGCTTCATGAACGACAGGCTTTGGGAACTCGAAGTCGATGTTAATTTGGTAAGTCCGAATGCTATTTTATATTGACAATGGCAAAAGCGTCTCTTGTCATTATGTCGTAAAGTTCTTACTATACGGACACTTCTCAATATTGCTAAATCTATCAACAAAGTACATAGTTATAAAGGAAAAAACAGGTAAGCACCTTTTCTCGGCTTTTTGTAAACCGATTTTTCATTTTGAGTGGAAGCTTTTAATGAACTTTGGTGTTTAAAAAGAAAAACTAACTTTTTCATTTCAAATTTTATGTTAAAAAATTAACACTTAGTGCAGTACATAACCTTAATATGTCAGTGATTGGCATCGTATAAATATCCCGTAGCTAATAGTTCTAGAATACATATTCAATACATACATAATAATGCTGGTTGCATGGTTGGTTGGTTGGTCGAGAGGAAGAGGTAGACCTAAGAAGAAATGGATGGATTGCATGAAAGACGATATGTGTAAAAGGGTAGTGAGCCAAGAAATGGCTTAAGATAGAGGAGTATGGAAGGACAACATGTTGCGCCGACCTTTAAGTAACTGGGAGAAGAGCATGAGAATGACGATGATAATAATGTTGGGTGCGTATAGAATGGCGTCATCAGAGGTACGCTGCTCGCATATCGGTTTATGGGGAAGGATCGCGGAGGGCAAGGCGGTGTCATCGTGAACACGGCCTCTACAGCATTTGCGAGACCTCAAGTGTCGACTCCGATCTACACAGCAACGAACTACGCTATTGTTGGTCTCACCAGAGCTTACGGGGTGAGTGAATATTCCTTTTACTTTTTTATGTATGGCAATTGGCTTCTTGCGATACCGTTGTTGCCAGTGTCAAATTTATAAAAATCTTCATTAAAAATACATACAAGGTTTTATTACAAATTAAAATATGGAGCGAAACGCGATGAAGTTGATTGATATTGAGACTGTAATCAATTTGGATCAAAATGAAATAAACGAAATGAGATGGAATAAAATAAGGCTAAGTAAAACGCAGCTATTTATTGAGATTTCAGTGGATTTTATTGGGTACCCAAGAAGCCAAGTTCATCGTCTTTCTTTCATTTCTAGACTTGTACACTTTCACAGGTGCTAAACGGCTAATACATGTGCAAGAATACTAAATGAACAAAATAAATAAATAAAACCACACAGCTTCGCTCGACGCATTCCCACAAAAATGTGCGAAGTGGATATTTATTGAAGAAACAATAATTTTAGTTCAAATACAAAAATAACGGTACCCGTATAATGTTATAACTCAAAGCAGGAATTTGCTGTTTGGACATAAAGCTGCTTTCAGACTACGCTATAATATGATAACATATAGTATATAGCTCATAGCACAACAATATCGCCCGCCATACATTGTTATGGACACGATCACACTGTACAGTACTATATATTATTGGCATTTTTCATCCTTTGGTTCATAGGATCAGTACCACGTCAATATGACCGGAGTGCGATGCCTCGTCGTGTGCCCTGGACTCACGGACAGTGGTTTGGTGAAGGATCTTGACAAGCAGCTTATGTCTTCAAAATACGAGACTGCTTGGCTAGGGGACATTACAGATTCTAAAATGCAGAGGTGTGTTAAATCAAAGTAATTTAGAACTTTATTAAAAGCAAGAAATACATAGTAGTAGATGTAATAATAATAGTAATAATAAATAGATGATCAACCATATAATGCAATAGTAGAGCACACTTAATTAGCCAGCCCCAAGAAACCGTGACATTTACTTGAGCGAGTCTGTAAATGTCACTAAAGTTCTACCAGCGCAAGCTGAGAAAGTAAAAATTTAAATAAAAATAATAATAATAATAAATATTTACTAACAATCACGCCACGTTAACTGGTCACGTACTAAGTTCGTAAAGAACTTGTGTTACAGGTATCAGATAACGGAAATAAATGTAAGATTTTTATTATACACATACATATTTTTAATAAACATCCACAACCCTGGAAAAGACCATTTTTTTATCATACAAATATCTTGCCTTGGCGGGATTCGAACCCGTGACCCCCTTGTGCAGTGACCATGTCACTTACCTTTTTTTTTTCCTTACCTAAGCTGATAGCCTTGAGAGGCTATTTCAGCGTAACCGTGGCTAGTAGGTGAGCTCACGGGGCTCAAACCTGGCGACGATGCTAACACGAACCCTAGCAAGAGCCGTGCTTCGCAGAATCTACCACCGGATCGGAAACGCGACCCACTGAGAAGATCCGGCGAGAAACTCAATGGGCTGTGTCTGAGAGTTAATTTACTCGTCGAGCCCTTCGAGCCCGAACGGTGACCGGTGTTTGAAGTACCTAAAAGCACCGTTAGTGGATCGGGAGGATCCGAGATGACATGTTTTGGGTGACATCGACTACTTTCCATTCTGTCCGCAGGATCGGGAATGTAGTTACCGGCGGCCACGATGAGAGGGTTCTCATGTCGTGCCGCTTTATCGAAGTGGCGCATCGACGCCGACTGCAAATACTTACTGACGGACTCTAAGTCCAGGTCGTCATGGAGGTCGACGTTCCTGACGAACCACGGGGCTCCGACGGCTATCCTGCAAAAACGGGATTGAATAATCTGGAAGGATTTTAAGTGAGTGCGGGCCGCGTGAGCGAACACTACACGTGCATAGGTCATGACGGGGCGTATGCAAGTTTTGTAGAGTGTCACCTTATTTCTAAGGGAAATTTTACTTCGCCTGCATATCATCGGGTAGAGACGTCCTAGAATGAAGGCGGCACGGTCGCGTACCGTCTTGATGTGAGGGCGGAATGTCATCCTACTTTCGAGGGTGACGCCTAAATATTTGACCTTCGGGGCCCACGGTATGGGCTGGTCAAACATTGTGATTGGGCGAATGGCGGAGGCGGAGGTGTCGACGCGCCTAGTCGGGAGAGGGATGCTCAGCGTGGTGTTCGGAGGGCGACCCCTTTTGAAGAGCACCGCTGTCCTTTTCGTGGGGTTGATGTCGATGCGCCACTTCCGGAACCACTTTCCCGTGGTGGTAGCTGCGGTCTGAAGTCGTCGATGAAGAAACGCCTTCTTCCTACACGAGTAGTAGATAGCGGTGTCATCGGCGAAGAGTGCCAGATGGGTCTCCGGAGACCGGGGTATATCATTGATATACAAACTAAATAGTAATGGGGAGAGGGCGGAGCCTTGCGGGACTTCGGCTGTGATGTGACGGGGGCGGGAACGCGTTCCCTCGACTCGATATCGGAACGAACGGTTCGACAAGTAGTCTCGTATGATGAGCACGAGTCTGTCTGGCACTCCCATGTTATACAGTTTGTATATCAAACCGTTGTGCCAGACTTTGTCGAACGCCTTCGCTATATCGAAGAAGAGGGCTCCTGTCGGGATGGGTCACTTACCACTACACCAGACGATGTATTACTTTTGTGTCTTTTTTTGTTTATTTTTTCTTATTACTTTATTTTATATTTGTTTATTAAGGTAATTATTTGACGTGTTATTTTTATAACTCAAATTTTCTGTTATATGTGAAATCTTGTAACGCATGTTTTTAAGTGTATATTGTTATTAATGATGGTGATGTCGTTTTGAGGTCGATTATATAATATATATAGTAAATCGCATTTTGGTCCTCACGATACAGGCTGTACCTAGTGTGAGGATCATTGAATATATTGATATCATTGGTTATATATTTATATTGTTGATGCCGTCTGCGTAATCTCTCAATTTGTTAAATATGTAAATAGTATTCTAGGTCATGATGTAAAAGTTTATATAGTAAATAAAATTATTATTTTTAATATCACTTCAGAAAAAAAAATTGTAAAGGAAATTCAACTCAATTTGAAGTTGTCGTGGCCTAAAGGATAAGACGCCAGGTGCATTTGTATATTATTTCTTTTTCTTACCTATGCTGATAGCCTTGAGAGGGTACTTCAGCTTCACCCTAACGTGTAGGTGAGCTCACAGGGCTCAAACCGGAGTGTTCCTAACACTGGCCCTAGCAAGAGCAGTGCTTCGCAGAATCTACCACCGCATCGGACACGCGACCCACTGAGATGATCTGGCGAGAAACTCAGTGGGCTGTGGCTGTGAGCCCGTTCACACACCGAAGCAAAAAAAAAGTAGGTACATGTTCATGATGAATTCAATTTGAATTTGATATTGTTTGTTTACAGCTCTGATCACGTTGGGAGAGCCCTGGTGGATGTACTCGCGAAAGGTCAAAGCGGCTCAGTTTGGATTGTCGAAAACGCTCAGCCGGCTAGGGAGTGGCGCGGCTAAGTGTAAATCGGCAAGGCATTTCGTAACATTGAGCGACATTTAGACTTGCTAACACAATGAAGTTGGTTTAAGCTCAGCCGCACATTCTAAGAAATTTTGTTCCGCCAACGCGCACCCATTTCACAAGTGGCGTCCTGATTCTGAAAATAGACATAATCTCCCAAGAAACAGTAATTTGTCAGTTTAGGATCACACAAAGACCGAATTTTAAAAAGTATTTAACAATCTAAATAATTTATTCCTGAATTTCGAGAGGGTACTCTCGAAGGCGGAATATTTTTACTGTACGAAAATACTGATAATCGTCAAACTATTTTTTTTTAATTATTACATTATGGTATGTCAACATCAAGCAGACATTGAACATTTTTTAAAGTTCAAAGTTTAGAGCAGCAGAAAACAAACTAATACCAGAGATATATATTAATAACATTTTTTAATTTATCCCCAACATAAATACAAAGTCTGAACATTTGCGAATCTTACCCATAAATTCGGCCTTTTGCTTCGGCATTTCTGTTTCTTATTGCCTACGTAAGAGCTCTGACACGCTTCTGGCGAGCATTTGGCCGATCTATGTGAGGTCTAAGACGTTATCACAGACTTGTCTACAGCCTGTTTACTGGTGATAGGACCTCTTGTGAGACCGCACGGGTAGGTACGTAAAGCAGTAATTCGTTTCGGTTTGAAAGGTGGGGTAGCCGTTGTAACTATACTGAGACCTTAGAACTTATATCTCAAGGTAGGTGGCGCACTTACGTTGTAGATGTCTATGGGCTCCGGTAACCACTTAACACCAGGTGGGCTGAGCTCGTCCAACCATCTAAGCAATAAAATAATAAAAAAAGCCAAGCATTAAATTCCCGAAAAACATTACTTTCTTCCAATGTGCGGCGCGACTAAATGTGTAGCCCAATAATAATATTGTTTATTAATGTAACGAAAAGCCATTTTCACCTAATTTAAGAACTAAACTTCACACCATCTGATACATACCTACTTAACTTTTTCTCGAGAGTGTACTGTTATTAAAACGTACTTCGCAAGGGAATGAGTAACGGAATGCAGTGGAGTTTAAAATTAAAATAGGTACTAACATAACGTAATAACTTTTAGAAACTTTAATATGTATGGATTTCTTAAACATTTTTAATGCTTCACCTTAAATTAATACAATATATTGCTCAAAGAATGGGTAATCGCTTTCATTCTATTTATAATTTAATGTATGACGTAAGGATATTGATCTCCTACGGTTGTGTAAATATTATTTTTCATGCAATTTTAGATGCGTATTTATATTTATAATGAAATAAAAAACCACCAAAAACATATTTATACAAAATTAGAATCTCATACGATTAACAAAATATTTTGTGTAACGTAAGCGTTTAGAAACAAATATAAGATTTAGTTTTCGACAGAACCAATTTAATTAATGGTATCGGATCGGTAAAATGGTACGAATGAAAATCGAAAATCAGATACTATTTAATTGGATTTTTTCTCTATAGGTTAGGAGGTAGAATAGCCTTCCCTTTTTCCATAGATACCGTACATTATACTCGATGCGGTAGTTACGGAGACATTTACAGAATTTGTACGTAGACATGCATAATTTAAGTTGGATGGTATGTAATTAATTCGTTTATGAATTTAGAAAAAAAAAACATAACAATTTACGTTCGATAATTTTATTAAACTTATATTTAAGAAGGGAAAAGCAAAGGGAAGTTTGCTTTTAGTTTTATAAGAATTTTTGTACATTATGTTGTTTTTTATGCCATGCAAAGATGTATGTTTTGTAGTAGCTTTTGTTTGATTTGCAAATAAATATTATTCGACTTGTATTTCATATCTACCTACCAGATATGGGTATTGTTTTGTTCCATTATTAAAACCACCTACAACTACGTAAGAGAAACATTCGATGAGTGTATCCTCTTTAATTACGGTACATACTACATCAGTCTTTATTAGTGGTGGGGCGTATTGTAAAATTACCACCACTTTGATTTCCGCCGAGAAGCAAGAATGCATTCCGGTTTGAGGGGGATAATAATAATTGGGAACAAATCACGCACGGTCATCCGGTTACAATTTAGGACTCCCCGTATTGAGTACCAGACTGATAAAACAGCTTAAAAATGATTAAATATATACTTAATATAGAAAATAAATACCCAGACAAAAAGCAAACAAACCTGTTTATCACACAATATTTTCCGATGTGGGAATCGAACCCACGAGCCTTGGCGCAAGTCAGTGCGTCTAACTACTGCACCACTGAGTTGTCGACATATAGTTTAAAACCTCCTCTGTAGGATATACGTTTTGATGTCGGTGGGATCAGGTAACCACAAGACAGTCGGTAATACCTTTAGTTCATTCAAGACGCGCTTATCAGGTACCTAATAAATAAAATTACTGTTTGAAAGATTTGTAGTAAATGTATATTTTCATAATAATACAATCACCAGGTACAGTTTTGAGAAACAGATTTTACAAATACCACATCTTTTGTCAAACTGATATCAGCATGAAAAGGACCCTGCTGCTCTATTTTATTTTTACACATCTTTTATGAAAACTAACAATGTTCAAAGTGATATTAAATTTTTTTTGTCCTTTTCTAGCATAAATAGATTTACAATTAAAATTTAATGTGATAAAAACTTTGGAACACTTCACTGTTTGATTACGAATACAAACACGCGACGCAAATCAAAGCGCGCTGAGAGATTTGGTAGTAACCCTGGTGAGCCGCGCTGGCGTCACTGGAGACCGCATCAGCAGCCCTACCATCACATTTTATTTAACTACAATCTATAAACAACTAAACGGCAATTAAACTTTTAAGTCACCCACATTAAGGATTCTTTCTCAAATTAGTAGGACCGCTGCTTTAATCGTCATTGCTTTTTAAAATAAAAATGGAAGAGCAATGACGCTTAATCAATAAAAACGTTCAATAATCTAACAATTATAGGCACAAATGCACAAACAGGTGAGAAGCTTTATGAAAATACATTTCATTGGGCGCTAAATCATATTAATCAGTACGCTATGCAAGAAATTACATGACATTGGTGTAATTTACAAGTTGAGAGGCATTTTATGTTTTCCTTCTCACCACAGAATATTGACATCTGATATCACATGAGTTACATCCTAGCATCATGTTGGTCAATAACCTTGACAATAACACACAATTTTGATGCCAAAATTCAGTTCAACGGACAATGATCGCCCACAGCATTTCTATCCTTACAAAACTCTACTTGTGAGCTCTCTCGGCCGAAATAATCTATTGTATGCTTACGGGAATTTCTTTCTCATTCCTTCCATTAAATTGGATACAACACTATCACACCAAAAAATGTTCCACCATCTTAAAAACCTTTCAGTAGTATTATTTCCCGTAGTGACATACATAGCACACACGCACAGTCATATTCGATCAACACTTTTTTCACCAACTCGAACTTTTCCGTTACTTTTCCATTTGTGATAAGTCCTCGCGATAATAAATTAAGATTCTGTCTTGTAGTCTTCTCATCCCCTTTTCTACTTAGCTGTAACAAAGAATGGGAGAATTTGAAAGTTTAAGACAAATAAAGAGTTACAGAAACTTCATAGCCTTTGACTTTCTTGCATTTGAATTCTTATCACTCATCTTTAAACTTAGCAAAATGCAAAGAGATTTGCAATATTGTAAAATGATAATATAATATTTTTTTTACTTTGCTTACTTACAAAATTTTACAATTTTATAAAAATTTCATGAAAAGCCAATACTTTTTTATTTGTTTGTTCTAGATGAAATATTAAATAATTACTGGAGCCGCTATACTTTACAGCATGAACGCCACTATGTATCTATCTATATTGGAAATAAGCAGAACGGTAGTAACTACACATGGATACAGTTCAGCCTTTTTTTCTTGGGCTGGGACCTGAACCTCTTACAGAGTTCTCGTGCGCCCTATTTGTAGGACAAGATGGCAGAAGATGGTAAAGGCCAGGGTCACAGAGATTAAATGCCGATCCACTAAACTAATCTTGCAACTTTGCACTAAATGAGCAAAGCACGAGCAAGCAGCTCATAACACTTCATAGGCAGTGGCTTGGCTCTGCCCCTGGCATTGCTGAAGTCCATGGGCGACGGTAACCACTCACCATTAGGGCCGTATGCTCGTTTGCCCACAAAGACAATAAAAAAAGAAGAAGGAGGAAACAATTCATCAAACTATCTAATGAGAAGATATCAACTTGAGACATATTTCGTATAGTGTGTAGACTGGGTAACGGTACCTGGTGCAGACTGTTCCGGCGCGGCGGTGCTGGTGGAGGGCCGAGAGCGCGCGCCGCGGTTGGAGCGCCAGGCATGTTGCTGCTGGTAGTGGTGATGCGCGTACTGTTGGTTATGTTGATTGTGTTGGTTGTGGTGCGCGGGATGACGCCACGACGCGCGAGGGCGCCAGGCCCCGCGCCGCGCCGACGCTACGCCAAACGTCTCTGAGTTCAGCTTACGCTCCGTACGCCAATCCGTCCGCTGAGACCTCCCCTTTGACCTGTCGACGGATTTTTATATTAGACCACTAGATGTTAATTACAAAAAATCAGTAAGGCAATCAGAAGAGACTTTTTAGATTAATTCTTGCTTATAGTGTACTTAGGTTAATTTTATAAACACAACACAACACTGAACTTTAAATGATTTATTGATGAAGTAAATGAAAAGTTGTTGAAAGGCTTCACTTGTGTGCTTAACAACATGTTACACACTTTTGGTGTAATAATAATTAAATAATTTGGTAATTTAATTCTCCTGATGTCAATGCAAAACAAAAACGTTAAAACAATTATTAGACTATTTACTGGCACACAACTCAAATTGAACTCTAACCTGAAAAACTGATATGTTATAATTGAATATAGATAGGTACCATTTGAAGTTGGTTTTTAAATTTGTACCTTTGGACTGTTTCAGTGTGTTTGACTATCAGGATATTTATAATTTATTAAGAGTATTATAATATGAATTGGTTTTATTTTGAGAAAACACATACATAGCTATTTTATAGTAAGCTGACCTCTCAACAGCCTCACAGGATATGTTGTCAAAGAAGCTCTTGGTCTTGTCATAGCCAGTGAAAGACGAATCTTCCTCGACTTCAGGTTCGCCGGCACCCGTTTCGTTGCCAGAATCGTCTTTCTTGTCCACTTCTACTGTTCCCTGCATTGGAGAATAGGACATATTATGGATAGATATTTTTCATTCATGAAAATTTAATTTTGTAAATTACAATTTTTATTAATACATGTTATTTGTTCTCCCTATATCTAACCATATAGAGTATTTCGTCAACTGGGTAGTTGATTAATAGCATTAATTATAAAAAACAAAGAAATTTGGTGATAATATCATGGACTCTTTATCTGATCAGATTTTAAAATAGTTTATAATACATAAAAAATTATTTAATGGATTAATATAATTTATTAGTCATTGCAAATGAAATTTTTTATAACTTTGTTACACTGCAATAAACATACAAACCTCAACTTTTACATCTCCTTCACTGATCTTAGTTTTGGCAAGTTGATTCCTCAGTTCTTCAAATTCAGTATTGGCCTGTTCAAAATCATAATCATTGTCGAACTTGAGTGTGTTCTTGTTTCGAGGTATGAATCCACCACGGCCACGTCCACGTGGCCTGCCTCGCCATCCTCCACGATTAAAGTTTTGTCCATCAAAAAACCCTAAACAAAAAGAGACTTTCAATAGTTATATTAATAACAATACTAATTATACTGTACAAAACAATAATTGTATTAAACTACATTTTAAATCTACACACAGCATAAAGACGTTGTGATATGTTGTTTGTGTTCTAAAAAGAGATAGATTTGAAATTACCTTGATGATTGTGATGCTGAGGTCTAGGTTGGTGTTGCATATTCTGTTGCTGAGGTTGTTGTTGTTGTTGTTGTTGTTGTAGTGGTTGATGGGGTTGCTGCTGATTCGTGCCACTCGGAAAACGTTGTCGGTTGCGTGAGTTGGTACGATTGCGTTGCTGGCCCTTTTGTTGTTGCTGCTGCTGCTGCTGTTGTTGCTGTGCAGTGTTGTTGCTCCCGCGTCTGCTATCCCGTTGTTGACCTGAGCTGCCAGCGCCTGTACCAACCTTTAAAATAAAGTTTTGAAAGTAGTCAAAACTTGTAGATTGAGAGTATGATAAAAAGAAGCGGATTTTGTGAGACAAATAACTTTACTTCTCCGTTCAAAATCTGAGAATGCTAAATTAATGTTTTTTTTCCTTTTTCAAACATCTACTGTGTATATTTTAGTGCTATATTGTGTCTATTTGTGTGACACAATGGCAGGGTAAGTTCTTCATTGATGATTCAACCTCAAACAGATTTGTTTATTCTTGACCTGGATGTTTAATATCTACATGTTATATCATCAATTTAAATTATCTTTGGTTCCCATGGTCCTAGTTTGGATCCACATAATATCCTTTACTGTGATTTTTGCCTTGATATTTGTTAGTTTCTAGACCAACCACACTGCATAGGATTACCAATTATATATACTATAACTTGATTGTTTTTTATTTATTTAAGACTGGTGTTTGTAATAAATAACTCACCTGAATGCTTTGGTCAGCTGTTGGACTTTTCCTATGAACACCGACAGCAGGTGTACCTGACCGAGATGCATTTTGTTGGGATCCTCCACCAATGAGGTCAAGCATTGAGCCTGTAATAATTGTTTCACACTAAAGCTTTTAATTAAATAGAATGTAATTTAAATATTAAAGCAAAGCTAGTTAATGAAGTCTATGCATATTGTGATGATTACACAGATTATGTAGATACAACAAATTACAAGTATACACAAACATTTTTACAAGTAACAGACCAAGGAGCAGAAGCTTTTAAAAGCAATTTTGTTATTTACATTGAAAATCATGGTAGACTTAAGGAATATAAAGGTTTAAATTTAACAATTAAATTAATATGCTATACTTATTGAACCATAAAACATTTATAAGCTCTCTGACGTTAATGCCAGACTATAAAAGGCCATTTAGAAAGTATGATCTACACAGTAGAACCTTTATGTAAAGTTTAGTTTTATTTAGAGAAGCATAGAACAATTCTTTTGAATAATTTGTTGACCTTATTAGTATTACTGTGTCACAATTTTGTTCACATCAAGATGCTACCAAAATTTATTATGTTAGCTACAGATGATATGCTTTGTGTTTATATAATAAGCAGTAATGTTGAAGCTCAAGCTGAATGCTCATTAAAAATAAACCTTGGTCTTTCACTTGGTTGGAGTGGTGGTTCACTCCAGAACCAATTGGAGCCGTTACAGGCTGAGCTTGTGATGCCAGTTCCACAGATTGTTGAGGAGACAACTCACTCGTCTTGTTGAGCTGGTTGTGAACTCCACTTGGAAAGCCAGCCATTGGATGATACTGAGGATATGGAGTTTGTCCAACAACTGGATGGTTAAACTGCCCCACATACTGCCCAGGNTGGTTGGAGTGGTGGTTCACTCCAGAACCAATTGGAGCCGTTACAGGCTGAGCTTGTGATGCCAGTTCCACAGATTGTTGAGGAGACAACTCACTCGTCTTGTTGAGCTGGTTGTGAACTCCACTTGGAAAGCCAGCCATTGGATGATACTGAGGATATGGAGTTTGTCCAACAACTGGATGGTTAAACTGCCCCACATACTGCCCAGGCGCTGGTCCAGTACCCAGAGTTGGGGGTACAGACATCTGCATAATGGCAGGATCATTGGGCATTGAAGGAACATTATTTAGCACCCTGATATCCTTGATGTCAGAACCACGGAACAGAATGTAGTCATATACTTGGCTTTGAGGTGCTACCGGATATTGAGTCTCTCGATCCTCCGTGCCAAATGAACGCACTAAAAGAAAAAATACAATAGTTAGTAATCTGTTTTCTTCGAAAATTAACTATGACGTAAACTTTACACTATATACTACTATTTAATTTTTTTATATACATCTTCTTGTGCATTGTCCTGGTCTTCAAACGTGTATGTTGTTTTACCATAATCAATCATGATAAAACAACATACATATACTAATTCATTCCAACTATTATCAAATCATATCTAATCCATTTCTGTATCCACAATAGACATTCACTAATTTTTGAGGCATAATTATATTGCAAATAATGGTTACCCCATGGATATCAAGCTACGCATGCTAAATAACATATACAAGCCTGTAAATACATCATCAAGAGCTGTATAAGATGATTGGAAATGTATTTCATACTTGACTTTTTTCAAGCTTCAATAACTACTAAACTTCAAGATTGATTTTGTAATAATTTTAAATTTACAACTATCAAATGTACAAATAATTTTCTATTTCAAATTATTCCCCTTTTCTGAATTATGATTAAAGCTGATGGGACTATGAAGAGAAAACCAACATATTAAAATTTTATATTATCTAGTATGGACCCATTACATGTTTTAGACTGTGCATTGTACAGTATATGTGGAAATGTAGCTCTCCAGAGGATACAAGATGTATTGTTTAATTCATTTAAATTGAGTTACATACATTACGTTTATAGTAGGTAGACCAAAATCAAATGACTAATATGAAACTTATTAGAAAATAGATTATCGGATATTTAATCTTACAAGAATTGAAGGTAGTTAGCATATGATTTTCAAGGTCAACGGTGTATATTCTAATATAACATTTTTTTTTATTAAATATAGCTAGTCATTCAGACGTTTCATACGACGTGTTCAATGTAACAATTGTTATATACGGTGTAGGGCAAGAACAGTTTACAACGTCACCAATGTGTAAACGCAATCAAAGGCACATTTCTATTTCATTTAAAGAGGGTAGAAAAAAAAATGATGTCCTGCAAGAATCAACTTTTTATCTTATGACGATTTCTTCTATCTATAAAGTTTATTTTTCGTACAGGTGAACTTGGATCATACGGAGGGAAAATCTTAGCACTTTCTCGAGTACTTACGCTTTCTGACGAATTAATGATGAAACGCGGTGTTTTAGAGACATTACAATATTTCACGTTTACATTATCTGCAAACCAATAGTTTACATATAAAATTAAAGAGAAAGAATCCATTTTTTAGCTTACCGCTAGCCAAGGCGATAGTACATTCCTGAGGATCGACAGTAAAAAGTCGGCCTTCGTAACGAATGTCAGCTTTCGATATTAGGCTTATTTTGGAGCCTAATTCAGGCATTCCAGAACTCATTATGTCACTTTGCTTGACCGATTTCGATGACAAAGATTTTCGACGATTTCAAAGACTGAAAAACTATCCACCGAATAAATCAGAACAAACAACAAAATGACTGACGGGAAGTTGGCAACAAGCGCAGCGTTTACAAACAGCCAGTGTTGCCGAATAAATTACAGACTCGCATAGTCTCACAGGCGATCCATAGATTATATACTACAATTTGCTGACTTCGCGCCATCATGTGGATTCAATTCACCCGAATTCGTCTTCACATTTCTTCACTACCAGTAAAATGGTTGTAGTAGGCGTAGAAATTATAAGATCAAAAGTTCACATTCACAGATCAAGAGTAGAACGGAAATTGATGGTACAGATCACAGGTAAAAGTATACGACAATAAGTTAGTAGTTGTAAGCACTTATTAACTCCATGGTATACAAAAATATATAGATTTATAGGGTTTAAGTATTAGGTATAAACATAATTATAGGTATAGTATAGGTATACCAATGCGCATATTGCTTATTTACACAGTTTTCAAGTATGTACCTACTTTAAATATATATAATTAACACTGATCATTATGCTTTTTCTACAATTGGACTGGTAAAGGGAGTATCTAAAATTAAAAAAAATTGTAAAGCGCTGGAAGAAATTGTTTAAGATGATACTATCATATCGTTTTTACCATCGCACTGGTCGCCACCGGAGTAGAGTTCATTCATACTACCTGGAGCCACTGCGTTCATCCACAGTGCGCTTCCAGAGATCTTTTCTGCCACGTATCCTCCGTCTTTGGAATGAGCTCCCCTCTACAGTATTTCCCGAGCACTATGACATATCCTTCTTCAAACGAGGCTTGTGGAGAGTACTCAACGGTAGGCAGCAGCTTGGATCTGGCCCTAGCATTGCTGAAGTCCATGGGCGACGGTAACCACTCACCAATAAAAAAAGTTAAGTAATTTTATTATTTCGTTAGGGCTTCTTCAGGCTTAAGCTAAAATAATGGTAACCATTTAGCATCTGTGAAAATGCTCAAGTATGGGAATTAAAACAAAATCTCAAAACGTGGCTTCTCTTCTTCCAAAAAGTTAATTGAATTCTCTGAATTCCCAATTAATCAACTTTAATTCAGTTTACCTCATTTCATTCAATTTTATCCTATAGTCTAGTTCTGAAATTCAATTTATTTTTAATTCCGCTAACTTTCAATTTTTACATAACTAGCAAGACTTGATTTCAAATCATCATTAGCTCACACATATACACGGCTAGACATAAGCCAAGGTTCACCATAATGATCAGCTCTGCACTACCTGCATCTAACGGATTCCCATAACAAAATTCCAACAGGTTGTCGGTCCATCTTGTAAGGCCTGACCACACTGAATAAACGTTGTCCCAAAATAATATAAAGTTTTGGCCGTATTGTATGAGCCCTTAATTTTTTCTGTCTAAAAAAAAAAGATTAATATTGTCAAAACCGCAAACTTCAAAATACTCCTACCAAACAATTTGTTTAAATTTCCAAATGTCCGTTGAGTTTGTAATTCTTTCTTTTTCGTGTTAGTTGAATACAAATTTCACTTTATGTTTGTTTTTGTAATATACTTGTGTAATTATAATCGAAAAATACGAATATAACTCAAGACGATTGAAGTGGAAAATGATGGAAAATCCTTTAACTTCAACGCCTGCCTTATCCAGGATTAGTATTGGCGGGAGCAGTAACACTTCAATTAGAAGACGTAGTTTGATACCTCAAAATAGAGTGGCCAATTCAAGAAATGAGGTGAGCAAATATGAATGCTTCAATTATTTAAAGGCAGTGGCTGTATTTTAAATCGTGGATTAGTTTTAAAAATTACAGAGGACAAGCTTAGAACTATATTTTTTTTTTGATTCTTGTCACATTCTATTAAATTTGGTTTTTAATAAGTAATATGAATTTTTGATTGTTAATACACCAACCATAAAATAACAAGTTTTCTGCATGTCTGAATAATCCAAAAATTGTCCAATGATGTAGCAATTGATGATACAAAAATAATAAGTGTCTAGGTGTATGTTTTGATTGTAAATATATTTTGTTTTCTAGATTAAGTTTATCATTACAAGTTTAGGAGTGTACTTAATAGGAGTGAGCGATATAAATCGTATCTAGATTCAATATCTATATATCGCAGCAATATCGTTGAATCCGATATCGCCCCGCACGAAATCTATATAACGATATCAGCCGATACACGATATTGCTCGATGTGATGCGCATCGGCATATCGTACCGATTCGTGAATATCAGCAATATTCGTTTGGTTCGTATCGAATCGGCCAGAGTGAGTGAGCGCACGATAGGGATATCATGTGATGAATGAAACAGAAACAGGCATTATCCATACAATTGTAAACCTTATATTTAAGTCCATATGTCTGTAGATTATTCTTAGCGTATCAGCAGGATACAATTAAGGAAAGAAGTTTCAACTTTCGACCCTAACTTGAATGCAGTATAGCCTATTTGCATCGTTGAATTTAATTTCACGCGCTTTGACCTTGAACTAGAATTTTTGGACAAGTGTTTATAAATACTTAAAAGTTTTTTGTGTTTGATTTTTAAAGTACACATTTTTCTATTTTTAGTTGAATCCAAATAATTGAGTTTATTTCTTGTGTTTGTATTAAACTTTTGAAATCTACACTCTTTTGGTATATTTTGTAATTTTAAATTAAGACACAAAATACTAAAAACTGAAAATAATGTAGCCAGTCCTAAGCCTGATAAAAGCATGAAGGAAAGTTTTTTTGATATTTTTATTTTCATGTTCTTTTTATTACTTTAAAATCATATTATAAATTGATATCAGAAAACCAACCGTATAACGTTGACTTAAATCTATATCTACTACGATATTATATCAGCGTATCGTTTCAAATCTCAAATATCATGAATTGAGAAAATCTATTAGCATCCATCAATATATAGATTCAGAAAATATATAGATTCAATATCCGATATTGATCCTCGATATATAGATACGATTCGATACGCGGCAAAACCGATATTACCCACTCCTAGTACTTAATCTAGCAAATTTAAAAGTAAATTAATGTTGTAATTATTAAAGTTTTGAAACGTATATTCGGTCTAAAAGTATAAAAAATCTTTTTTCCGTAATGTAATCTTTGTTAACAACTAGGAGTGCAATGATGATGATGCTGAAAGGTCATCACTTGTGGCATCAGATCGGGTGGTTGCATCTACCCCACAGGCATCTCCACGTCGTGGAAGGGAGACTATGTCTTCATCACCACAGAAAGAACATTTCCAAGGTTGCCTTAAACTTTATGCAGAAAATGTAAGTTTGCTGACAACTAATTGATGAAATAATATATTCTAAGGAATTAAAATAACAGTTCAAAAACCTTCTCACATTTATGTTACTTTCTCATATTTATGATTCAGAATTGACTTATTACCACAGTAAGCGTAAAATATATTTGCTTTAGTTGAGTTGAAATAAAATTCTAAAGTGATGAAAATGTATTGTAAGATTACTTCTGATTTGGTTTCTTAATAAAATTAAATATATTTATTGATTATTTATAAAGTTTTCTCAACGATTTTCTTTGTTTCACAGAAAATAACAAAAGACAATGCATGGAATCTACAATTGATAGATTTTATGACTTCCATGCTTCGACGTCACGATGCTCGTATGGATAACTTGCAAACTGCTTCCACTGTGGTTGATGCTTCTGCTAGAATATACTCATTCAGAGTTGATGCCGTGCATTATGATGTACTTAAAATGGCTGGTGGATTAATTAAAGCTGCTCAGGTAAACTACAGTTTACAAATACTATTTTTACTCTTGACTGACATTAAATGTATAGTTCCCATTGTCATCCTGCACCTGGTCTGGACCGTTTTAGGGTATTTAGGGTATTTTCTAAAAGTGACTTCATACCATCATCACAACTAGCTCTGTAACCTAAATATTTGATTCGAAAGATACTAAATTCAATCCAGTAGTCCTTTCACGTCAACCAAATCAATTTCTCATGTACTATTATTGGTGGAAATGGTAAACTACTACCTTTAAAATTAATTACAATTATGCAATAACATCTTTATTCCAGTCAAAAAGAGGCAAAAAGGATGATGAAAATATACAAGACGAAGGTGCATTAGATGGAGATGTGAATGCTGCACCCATTAAGAAAAAAAAGAAACGATCTAAAGGAGCGATAGCAGCAAATCCAGAAGTTTTTAATGGTGATTTCGACATCAATGACTGTATAGGTAAGTTTGTATATCTACATGCTATCCCCGTGCAATCCCGAAGGCTATCCATATGTATATTATCAAACATACAACCAAAACGTAATTAATGAACTTGTGAGTTAATAAAATAAAATTTTAAAACTGTAGCTACATATTATTTCAATTATCTAAATTCCATTTATCCTAGAATTGTTGAATTTAATCTCATATGCTACAATTTTATTCTTAATGAGTGATTGGACCTTATAAGCCACTATGATGAACACAGGTGTCAAGATAAACACTAATTACAATTTTAAATATTCTTTCTCTAATAGGCTCATGGGTGCTGATAGAAGTAGTTTGTAATTTTTTTTTAAAAACAGTGTGTTTTATATAGATCCATTTTTTGAGAGGCTGGCCGCAACTACAGGAGATGTCACATCATCAAATAGAGCATTCAATGCTACATTACCAATTCATGACAAAACTCTTGCGCTTATTCTGAGGTAAGAGTAATGGAAGGAGTTGATCATTGTGTTTGACTAATTCTCATTAATGTAAAAATCAAATGATTAACATGGTTTTGTTGTATAGTAATTGAAGTATTTAAAAAAATGTTCCAACAGCCTAATTTTAAGTAAAAAAGTAAAATTTGATTCATCCAATGTAAAAGAAATTATATATCTTTAATTACTTAATTACTCTTAATTGCAAATAAAAACTCCTATAGTAGCCAAACAGTATTCAAACAAGAACTTAAAGTGATGTATCATTTTTTGGTAGCCCATGCAAGATTTGTTTGTTTCATTATGCAGGACCGACACCAAGTTTTTAGAACCTATCAAGGAGAACATCCCTGAAGAGTTGGACTTGTCACACCGCATCACCCTCGCCGTAAAGTTACTGCCGCCGTTTTTAGAAACGGATGCATTATGTGAGCCTTTCACGGGCTTCTCTATAAGCAATTGGGATCCGGATACCGAAGACAAGTTAGTGCCATAATAAATATGCTGAATGAAACATTTGGCTGTTTTCTAAGAGTTCCAACCAACACAAGGGATACAATTCTAAATCTAAATTTATTAGACATCTCATGGTCGAGCGCGCGCATGGTGTCTCGGCACTTAATTTTTTTTTTTTATACGTTTGGGTATAGTATCCAATGTTGGGCTTTAGTATAACAATTTTATAAGAACAATTTTTGTGAATGCAACTTTATTTTGCTTGACATGTTTTGAGAATGAAATCTACAAATACCAAAGTGTAGATATCAGACACTGATACAGAATGATTAGCTACGCATCATAAAATATGTGTTGTGCAAAATTATAATTTAGTTTTTATTATTAATGTATTGATTGTTTTAATAGAAGTAGATTCCATAAAAAAAAAAGTGGTTTTATATATTGTTAAGTTAGGGGTATGGTTAAAATAATTCTTATAAATTTTGTAGTGGGGAAAACAGAGTGACAAATTGGGTGGAAGAGAACAGATTGAATCTATCACAGCAAGCCTTGGCTTTTGATGTCAATGCTGAAGTGGAGCCAATACCTCAGGATGACTTACACAATGATTTGTATGGTGAGTTTTGCAAACTGTACAATAAATGTTGTTTTTCAACAACACCTCTTGTGAGTCCGCACGCGTAGGTACCACCATTCTATCTATATCTGCGGTGAAGCAGTAATGCGTTTCGTTTTGAACCGTGGGGCAGCCGTTGTAACCATACTGAGAGCTTAAAATTTATATCTCAAGGTGGATGTCGCATTTACGTTATAGGTGTCTATGGGCTGTTAGCTCGTTCACCCATCTAAGCAATAAAAAAAAGAAAAAAAGATTGATGCCTTTTATGAGTAAAGGTTAACGCTTGCAGACGAGGAGCCGCTGGGAGGCGTGGAGAGCGGCGAGGAGGCGGACGCGGCCGTGGCGGCGTGCGTGGCGCGCGTGGCCCTCCCCGCGCCCCGCCTGGCCGACGCGCGCCCCTCCGCGCCGCACCACGCGCGCCTCGAGTACTCCTACTGCTCCCTGGCCGCCGCGTGGGCGGGGCCCGCGCACTGGAGACTCAAAAACAACAGAGGTTCTTAATTCTACCTATCTAGCCTACCTATAAGGCTATCTTCGCACGGGCCATATATTCAATTCACTAAATAGTGAATAAATATATGTCTGAGTAGCCACATTTATTAACATCGTTGTCAGAAATGGTAGGGGCGAATAAGGTGATCGAGCTAAGAGAATTAATGACCACACCAATCACGTTTGTTAGAACGTCACGTTTGTTGTTGTCGTAGTTGTTGTCTTAGAACAATTTAGAAATCTTCTCTTGGCGTTAGTGAACGAAAACGAATGACAGCTCTTAGGATGGAGACACCCCTCTTCAAGAATGCTGATTGGTAAGTGTGATAGCGTCTACGCGCCTCCATCGGCTAGACTTTGTCGTAGTGGTCATCGAAGTTAGCCGAGTTCCGATGATACCGCAATGGTGCTGCCATCTCTCGGGAATCGTGCTGCATTTCGTTTAGCTATCAAACTAATGACCGTCCCCAACATATGAATCTTCTGTTTAATTTGATAAACTGTCACTTTATTTAGTTTAAAAACAAATAAATAATTGTAATCCAATAAAATCGAAACATTAACTTTCTCACTTAATCTTTATTTACCGTAGCAAACATAATTAATCATATTTTAACATTGGCTGTACAGCATCAAAGCTTTCCGAGCGAACGCAATCGATGGGCGGGCGGCTGATGGCGGACGGCAACAAGAAGCCGGCGCGGACGAAGCGGCAGTTAGACTTCGAAGGCGCGGGACTCACGTTCGACTGCCGGTCCGCGTCCGTCGGGGACTACGAGCCCATCCAGCCGGCCAAGATCATGATCAGCAGGAAGACGCTCGCCACGGGACACACGTGGAACGAGACCAACTTTAAAACTCCTATTGATAGGTAGAGTGTTTTTTATTGTCAGGCTTCCGGATACTATTAGTACTTTCTATGTACAAAAAAATCTTAAATATATATCGTCTTTTTGCATTAAAAGTGTACAATTTCCAAAAATGTTCGAAATTGAGTTATTATGCGGAATCATTTAAAACAAAAATAATAAAAATAAAAATATCACAAGTTAAACCTTTAAAACACTCTCTTGTAAAATTAGTAAGTTTTAAGATTATACAGTTTTAATGCGAGAAGACGATATATATAAAGTTATTAAATTTAAATGCAATTCTAAACTAATGACGAATTCGTCGGTAACCTGAAAACTCAAGTTTTCGAAATGTTGGAAATTCTTTAATGAAAATATTAAACTGTAATATCTTCTCTTTTATTATAAGTTCTTTGTTGTCTTTACCCCTTACATGTGGTCCCCACAACATCATGTTTACTCTTCTGTCGAATCAGGAGTTAGTAATTTCATAGGACCGATTACAAAATTTGTATGGAGTTGGAACGTTTCCCTACGTTTGGCGCTAAGGGCGCTGCATACAACTTTGAGTTAACTTTTACGCTATCGAGGACGTTAAAAAACTCACGCTGAGCACACAGATCAGCAACACCTACGATCGTGTCGAGTTCTATTTAATCCATTCTTTGCGCAGAGGTCTGGACGAATCGCACTTCTGCAAATTATTTTTACTGCGTAAAGTGACGATGTCGCGGAAACGTGACAACGAACACAGCAAGCCCGAGGAGCCCGTCACGGTCGAGGCGGTGCGCGACTACGATTACAATAATGAAAATGATGCCTCATATTGCCCCAACATACCGCCGGTGAGTACATTCACAATTCTACAATCCTATATTCTCCCGGTCAGTGATGTTAGAAACTCGCAGTTGATGCTGTTTTTCTCAACTAAATACAATAATAATCAACTGATTGAGGTCGTGCGATACTCATAATAAACAATTTGACCGATAAATCTAATGACTTCTATTATTGATATTTTATTGTATGTGTAAAAGTTGTATTCGTTAAGATTGTTAGTTGTAGTTGTTAATATTGTTTACCTAATCTAATCAGTTTTAAAAACAATCAAACACTACCGTATTCTGTCGTTAAAAAAGTAATATTTGAAAAGCAATATCACAAACATAACATAAGTTGTTGTTTCTGTAAGGATGCTGACGAGTGGGGCAACGAGGACGCCACGGCCGCCGGTGACCTGCACGAACAAGTCAAAGCCGTAGAACTCGAAGACATCGGGGACATGCTCGAACCACCAACAAAAGTAAGCTCGATCGTCACATTATTCTTTTCATCCTGATTGATCTAGGACAGTGTACAGGTTTCATTCCCAGTTGGATATGAGTTAGAAGTCTTGTATGTGTTAACAATATTTGTAACAAAAAAAAAATAGTTTCGTCTTGATGTCGTTTTAGATTTACTCATACCCAAGGATAAATATATATAATTATTCTATTCTTCTCCTGTGTGCTTATTGCGAGTTTTTTAACGTTCTCGATAGCGTGAAAGCTTTCTCAAATTTGTATGGAGTTGGAACGTTTGCCGCTAGGGGCGCTGTTCCAACTGCACTAACAACAATACACTAACACAGAACTACAACGAATGATATAATGTTCCGCATCCGTATTCCAACAGGTGGCCAAAATATTCATACCATACGCGATGCGGGCGAAAAAGGTCGACATGAAACAATTGAAAAACTGTACGTGGAAGATGCTCACTGAAAAAACTCCAGAAGGCTCCAAAGACGAGGTCACGGAAACGTCATTCTTCTCGATTTATTCCAGACTTCCGAGCAAACTGACGCCGAATATGAGAGAATCATTAAGTGTACCATTAGCTTTACTCTCAATTTTGCATTTAGCAAACGAAAAGGGATTGATTTTAGAGAAACAAGAAGACCTTAAGGACTTTGGCATAATAGGTTTGATAAAATAATAAAACAACTTGAGGTGAGGTTCTAAAATGCATATTAAATTTAAACATATTCCTCACTACCTGCACTGAAAGCATGGCTTGCAACAAACTTGTGTTTTGAATACTCTATAGTGTTTAGTATCTCAAATTTGACCATAAAATATTAGTTAGTCACAAATTTTGATTGTTATTTACATTAATTTTTTAGTGAATTTATTGAAAGAAAAAAAAACCTAAAAGCCATTATTACCTGAACTACAAAACGAATTGTTTTTGACAACATCCATACATAATTTAATAAATTTGATGCGTCATCTGAGAGCTTACCTTATGTCAAAGTTGTGTATTGAAAGTAAAAAAAAAATGTTATTGTAATAAATGTCAGTTTCTTGCAGCAACACTATTCCAGTTAATTACATTAGTTTCTAGGGTCGCGTTTCCTTACTATCCTACAGATGATTAAATAATGTGCTATTATAAACGTTTCACAATTACAAAAGCAATGGATGTATGTACCGTAATTAAATTTTGAATATTGTAAATAAAGTTTTGACATGTGTCAAAATATATGAAAAAGTTTGTGAAAACATTGTATAGATGTTTTTAGAATAGACTGTATTTTTTATATTTAAGTATTGAATAATATTTAGATATGTATGCAAGTACCAAGCTCGTTTTTTATTTTATATTCCCTGGCTTTTATTATTTACTATCAAAAGAGCAGTGAGGTAATCTATACATCAACAGCAAAAAAGGTAGATGTATAAGAAACATCCTTAATTTTTTTTATTGCCCGTGTAGCCAGACAGCCACATGGCCCACCTGATGGTGAGTGGTTACCGTCGCCCATGGACTTCAGCAACGCCAAGGGTAGAGCCAAGGCGCTGCTTACTGTTAAGTACGCTCCACAAGCCTCGTTTGAAGAATGTCATAGCGCTCGGGAAACATCGTGGAGGGGAGCTCATTCCAAAGTCGGATGGTACGTGGCAAAATCTCTGGAAACGCACTGTGTATGAACGCAGTGGCTCCAGGTAGTATGGATGAACTCTACTCCGGTAGCGGGCGGTGCGATGGTAAAAATGAGATGATGGGACCATTTCAACCAATTCCTCAGACCACTCCATGAAACATATGGTACAAAATACAGCGAGAACCGAAGTCCCTCTGCAGACCCAGAGGTTTCAAACGATCCGTGAGATTGAGATTATCGACAATCCGAACAGCCCTCTTCTCTATAGAGTCAAATAGAAGTAGCTGGTATTTGGAAGATCCGGCCCAGAGGTGGGACCAGTACTCCACGCGAGGCTAGACTTTTTCTTTATAAAGCAAAAGCCTTTCTCTAGGCACGAAGTACCGTTTCGCTCTGTTCAGGGCGCCTAGCATTTTGTAAGCCAGCTTGGCTTTGCCATCCAAATAACTTCGAAATTGGACATCGCTCGAAATGTCGACCCCAAGTATCCCAATACAAGTGAAAGGTTGCAGGGATACTCCTTCGTCTAGACTAGTACTATTATTTACTTTTTAGATTTAAATGGCGACTGTGCAAGACATTCGCGCATCGAAACAACGAAAATAAAATTAATCGGATATGGCACTGTTACACGCCATACATGTAATTTGATTTTTTTATTGCATGGACGGGTGAATGAACTCACGGCCCACCGGGTGTTACACGATTACCGGAGCCCATAGACATCACTACGTGAGACATGAGGTCTAAATCTCAATTGTATACTAAAACGGCTGTCGCACTCTAAACTGGAATCCATTACTGCTTCACATCAGGAATAGAATGGCTGGTGGTACATAACTGCCTCGCAAGACGCACCACGACCAGTAATTACAACAATTTGTTTTTTTATTGTTTAGGTTGATGGACGAGCTCAGACTGGTGGTAGGACTTCTTGTGAGTTCGCACGGGTAGGTACCACCGCCCTGCCTATTTCTGCCGTGAAGCAGTAATGGGTTTCGGTTCGAAGGGTGAGGTAGCCGTTGTAACTATACGGAGACCTTAGAACTTATATCTCGAGGTGGGTGGCGCGTTTACGTTGTAGATGTCTATGGGCTCCAGAAACCACCTAACACTTAACACACTTAGCATTAAAATAATATTAGGGCTGCATCATAATTTGGAAGAGAAGGTCAAGGAAAAGATGAAATCAATAGATTTTAACACATTTATTCAACTGTACACTGATTCACAGTAAGAGCTTTCATGGAAAATCACAAGCACAGTTACCGACAGATCACCTAACATTACAATTTGACTGTGCCACGGCTTCGCAGTGGCAAAATGCTATAAACATAATNTTAAAATAATATTAGGGCTGCATCATAATTTGGAAGAGAAGGTCAAGGAAAAGATGAAATCAATAGATTTTAACACATTTATTCAACTGTACACTGATTCACAGTAAGAGCTTTCATGGAAAATCACAAGCACAGTTACCGACAGATCACCTAACATTACAATTTGACTGTGCCACGGCTTCGCAGTGGCAAAATGCTATAAACATAATTACATAAGATAATACGGTTTCGCGTCTACGGGACCACGCATGGTAACAAAGTCACAGCAAGCCACCCCGTGTAACAAAGTAAACACGCGATGGTAGATAAAATAAATTAATTTAATTATAAACAATTAACATGTTACTGTGCCTATAGAAAAAAAAAAATTGTCTAAAACATTTGTTTTGCTACTTGTAAGTTGTTGGCGTTTATTTCTTAGAAACGGGCTTGTAGGCGAGCTTTCTAGACTTGAGCGTGGACCACTTGTGCCGCTTGTAGTAGTAGACAACGGCGGCAAGCATGGAGAACATGCCGATAGCTTTGATGGTCATCTGCCGACGGTCGTCCAGTTCGGGTTCTGAGCACCATTTCAAGAAAGTCGCAACATCCTTGGCGAGCTGTGACGCAGTCGCCGGCGTGCCGTCACTGTACTCAGCTGCCTGCAAAACATAATATAATATTTAGAGAGGGCGTTGATATTACTCGTATGTATATAGAAAATAATATATAATGCAGTCTATTCTTCTTATATAAGGCTCATTTTGTTTGTTAATGAAATATCACCAATGGACAAATATAACGAGTTTAGAATTATCCATGAAACTTACTTCGTCAAATAGAACTTGCGCCATAGAGATGGCACCTCCTGGGAAGTATGGATTGTAGTTCTGTCCCTCACGTAGCACTACACCAGCAGGAGGTTCCATGTAACCAGTCAGTAGCGCGAAGATGTAATCTTCGCCGCCCTTACGTCCCGAGCAGATCAGAGACAAGTCCGGTGGGTAAGCACCTGATATCAATTAACATTATTATTATTATTTTTGTATTTAGGGAGTCAAGCATAATCACTTATTAACTTTGATTATTTAAATTTGATCTTTAAAATCCAAATAAAATTTTCTCTTCTATTTCAGTAATTACATTAAATTTAATAATACTAATATGTTTTTATTTAATGTAAATCTACTAAGTGAAAGTGGTGTTAAGTGGAGCCATGTGCCTTGAGACGTAAGCTTGATGTCTCAGTTTCATTTTATAATGACTTCCATCTTTCAAACCAATACCCATGACTGCATCTACCATCATAGTAAGAGGCATGGCAATTATTAAAACTATTAACTACCCAGACCTTTAGAAATCAAGGTTACTTAGTTTCCCTACAGGATTTCATGACGTTGATTTCTTGTGGGCCCATTCACAAATGATACTAAGATTTTGCTCTGCATTTTATTATTTTCTACACATACCATTGTTTGCAGCACGAGCCGCATTTTCATTGGGGTATGGAGACGGCAGGTAGTCAGAAAGTTTACCAGGCCTTTCAAAGTAGTTGCCCTCCTCATCAGGACCATCTTTAATCATCACCTGAAAATGTTCAAGTTACCAATTAAATATTATACATTGTACTGCTATGACAGTTATGTTCTTACTATGTTGGACAAACCTATAACTAATGAATATGAAAGTAAATTTTCTCTTTTAACTAACTACTTGTAATAAAAAGGGGATGTTATTGACAATTATAAAATACATCAAACATAATTGATCCCTAGTCATTTTTTTATATCATGCTTGGTATTAATGTCTCGCACATGATCATAGCCGGCCATTTAACGGCCGTCTGGTGTAGTGGTAAGTGACATGGTCACTACATAGGGGGGGTCGCGGGTTCGAATCCCGCCAAGGGGAGATATTTGTATGATAAATATAAATGTCTTTTCCAGGGTTATGGATGTCTATTAAATATATGTATGTATATAATAAAAATCTTACATTTATATCCGTTATCTGGTACCTGTAACACAAGTTCTTTACGAACTTATCACGGGACCAGTTAACGTGGCGTGATTGTTAGTAAATATTTATTTATTTATTTATAGCATCAGGATAAAATTTAACATTTATTTGACATAATCACCAATGACTGACCTCAGCAGCTTCAGCCTTAGCCTCATCTTCAGTATGGGTGACATTGACCAAATTTCTGAAGGCAATGTACTGCAAAGAGTGGCATGCCTTGCAGACTTGTTTGTAAACTTCATAACCTCGACGGACACTGTAACAAACATGGAACTAGGTGTTCTATGACAAATGTTTGATAGGTATTATGTTTTTCTTTGCTTAATGTATATACAATTACAATCCATTTCATACAGTAAAACAAGAAAATTGTATTTTTTCTTACAGTAATGTTTTATACACATAATTTTTATATTCATTATGACTTTGAACGTCCTTGATTTTGATCATAAAGGTCATCTAAAAGTTAATTTTTCTTTATAATTTTATTCATGACTTTTGTTGTATTATTGAAATTGAATTTAAATGCTTAGAGTTCTAACTCTAAGAGTGAAAACTCACCTAGCGTGGTCCAGGGAGCTGAACCAGCCACTGTGATTCCATGGGTTGTGAGGTGGGTGAGCTTCAGAGCCTGATGCCTGCACAGACTGCTCAAGGGCAAAAAGTAGAGCTCCAACACCTCCACCTACCACTCCCAAAGTGGACAGCCACTGGAATACATTTATTAGATTGAATTTGAGCACATGCACAAAATGCATCAAAAACTGTTGGATTCAGTAGTTATATCTCTGAGTTATGGCATAGTTTGGAAAAAAGACTGTTTCACATTAGAAACATTGTAACCCTTTAATGTCCCTATTTTTGTGTAAATTATTTTTTTAGGACCATATTAGTTAAATGGTACGTGATCTGTAGGCCTTCCTTCCTTCAATGGTTGATTGAAACCACTGTGGAAAACTCTTTAAAAGATAATCTCTTTAAGAGATGTTATCCTCTTATTTTTATCAAAAACAATAGCATAGCCTTGTGGAGTAAATTTATCTAGCCAAACAAATCTTGACAGTTAATTATTTGAAAAAAAAATATCCATGACTCTTAGCATAGTAGTAGTATCATTAGTCTGTTTTGTGAAGTTTCCATAAAACCATATTTGTGTATAAAGTGACACTCAACTTTAATATTACAGATACATATCTTTAAATTTATAAAATTTTAATGTTATTTAAGAGCTATTTCAAATACGTAATAAATTAGCAACATTAATATTACTAATAATTAGTTATTATTAATTTTTCATTCTTCATCAAACTTATAGATGCAATATTTAACTAATGAATCAATTATTACTCTTCATATCAGCAAACATCAACTGATAAGTCTTGATATTTTATGTAATTATTGACTATTTTTTTAATATCATTTAATTTAAGTGATCCTTTTAATCTTCGTTACTAAAGATAATTGCACAAAAACTCCAGGATACAAAGTTTAAAAGCATACAAAATTCATAAAACTAGTAGCTTTAATATTATGTAGGAAAATAAATTTTGTTACAGCAAAACTTACCACTTTTCTGTTTTTTGTCCATCCTTGAGTGTTGGTGGACAGCTGACAAGCCTGCAATGTTCGATCAGCATTAGAATTAATATGTACTTGTTACATAATGCAGAATAGGTTATCACTTTTAGGTCCAATTTTTTTCTACACACTCGGATATATTAACATTTACTTGGATTCATTTCATACAGAGCGTCGTTCGAATTAAAACTTATGAACCCTGGATAAAAACTATAAATTGATAAATTCACCAGTTTTCAGTGACACTTCGAACTTCAACTTTGTCGCATTTGATAACATACATGTCTATCGTACTGTAAGCACTAATTACTTTTAGAGAATTACGGGATTCTGAGGAACATTTTTAGTACCTGAGGCCAAACTAGACCATATTTTTTCAAAAGACGTGCCCCACAAATCCTACCGACGGTGGCCGCCATGTTTGAAAACCGTCGTAATGAAAGATGACGACTAAAATGACATCTACAGCTAAAATGCCATAGGTAAAAATAGGTCGATTAACTTTTTTTCTGGCAGAAGTCAAAGTCATTATACAGTATTTTTTCGAAGGCTTTCAAGNCCTGAGGCCAAACTAGACCATATTTTTTCAAAAGACGTGCCCCACAAATCCTACCGACGGTGGCCGCCATGTTTGAAAACCGTCGTAATGAAAGATGACGACTAAAATGACATCTACAGCTAAAATGCCATAGGTAAAAATAGGTCGATTAACTTTTTTTCTGGCAGAAGTCAAAGTCATTATACAGTATTTTTTCGAAGGCTTTCAAGTTTCTGGATGTAAAACACGTCGTTTATTATTTCTTTACTTACACATTCTACAATCTCCGATATTTTGAATACTTTCCAATTTTTGACGTCAAGGTTTCGATCATAAATATGATTAAGCAATAATTCATCATCTGTATATCTCCACTGCTGGATGTAGGCCTCTCTCATAGTCCGCCACAATGAACGATCCTCCGTCTTCCGCATCAAATCTTTCCCAGCATATCGCCGCAATAATTCGTATATTATTTCATTCATACAAATTTTCCTTTCTTCTTGTTGTTTCAAAATTAAAATTCGTTTTGTTTTTGTCATTTAAGATTGCAATACTTACATCTACAGCAGAAACTTTATTTGTAATATCAAGTAAGTGTAATAAGTGTGTCCGATTTTCATTTACCGTCAATGGAAACTAAGTTAAAGTAAATAAAGCAATTTATAGTGTAGCAATAGGAGGACCAAATTAAAATAAAACGATCATTCAATAGAATATTCAACAACGAAAATCATCGAGTGATACGGACTCTCCGGTAAAACTTATTTCACTATTTAAATACTGGTATGTGAATCAGGATAATGTGGTAAGATAGTTGGGTTCGCTATCGGATGTGTAAATGTAAATAGGAGTGTGTGTCAGGCAGGGGGGCTGACATCACCGAATCAAGTGGTCTACATGCGTAGATCAAGTGGTCTACATGCGTAGACCACTTGATTCATGAGCTCAGCAGTGTTAGTGTCTGCAGTTCGATTGATGGAGTTTTATAAGCAGCATTAGTTATACAGATAATATGGTCCTGCTGAATCCATCGATCAGAGCCCTCAAGAAATTCATCGCAGCCTCCGATATGCTTTTGGTTTCAAATATGACTCCACAAAAATGGAGCATATGGTCATGTGATCATTAAGTTAATATATAACTATTGAGGAAGAAAGAAAGATAATAAATAAGTTTCGAAAAAGTATCTCCTTTGTCGTATCACTCTTGTTAGAGTCGTGTTCGTCGTTCAGTATCATTGCTGTGGGCAGATGCTATGCGCCTCACAAGCAATCGCCACTTCTCCCGGTTTGTGGCGAGTATAGTACACTTATGCAAACAACCGCCAACTGCATGCAGACTTGACTTGGTCGATCCATTGCATGGACAACCTTCCACGCGATCTGGTGCCTTCTAGTTTGCCTGGAACGAAAAGGCGCTCTATGCAGATTTTTCTTCACCGAGAGATAAAATCATAGTATGCGCCCATGTACGAGCGCCGAAAGACGCTGCCTATTGCTGAGTTCCAGTACCAAGCATTCGTCTCCAGCATCACATCTCCAAAGCATCGACCATCTTTTTCTCCACCTGTCGCAAAGTTCACGTCTCCGCCGCGTATAAAAATATGAAGAAATCAAGAACTGTACCAAAAAAAAGTATAGTCACATTAAAAATTCAAACTGACAAAAGGAGGCTTAATGTGACATGAAAACTCAGGTTTATTCCTAGTAAAGCGATTCATCAAACAATTCCTATTGAGTTATATTTCCAGTTTACTTTAACACTAAGCCTACCGAAATTTCATATACATATATGTAGATATTCATACTACAAAGGATAAAAATAGTGTTTTTCTTAAATAAATTTTAACACGTGCATGAAAAAAAAATAGATTTGTCCGTTTTATCTAAACGTTCAAATCAGAAGAAACACTAATTTAACAAAGTTAAATAATTCACTAATTTGACTGATTCGGTGGTGCAGTAGTTAGCGGCTCGAACCATTGCGCCGAGGGTCACATGTTCGATTCTCACATCGGGCAAACATTCGTTTGGGGATTAAGTTTGTTTGCTCTTTGTTTGGGTGTTTATTAATTACATATTTTTGGAGTTTACTCCTTTAGAATCGATTTACATATATAGGCCCGGGGTATGAAAATTATGGGGACCAAAATCGTACTAGCATGTCACACGAAATGCGTTATGCGCATTTCGTGTGACATGCTAGTACATGCGCCGGCAGTCCGCCACAAAGCCTCGTACTGATCGCGCGTTTCTCTCATTATTGTATTTTNTTGAAGTGAAACTTCCTTATCGGCGTTGGAAAAAAATTTACCGTCACGTTTTTCGGTTACGCGTCACATTTTTCCGTTACGCGCCATCTTTTTCTTGCCCCTACCACGGTTGGTTCAGACGAAGAGTACTTTCACTTTCTCCAACGGAGTAGGGATAGCATTAATGTTTCACTTCTTACGTGTGTACACTAGTACACGCACACATTTTTATATTTAAGCGCATATAAGTATGTATGTCAGTCTCTGGTACCCATAACAGAGGGCATCCAGGTCTACTCAGGTCTAGTGACCTGATTTGCTATATAAACCACTTATGGTATACTTTTTATCTCAATAAGAATAATAATAACATAGGAGTCAGTATTAAAACATATCGAAGAAATGTTGTTTGAAAAAGGTAGTAAAATTATAAAGCAAAGGGATCATTAAGTTCATTTGACCCGTCCATCTAAAATTTATTCTGGCAGCCCTATATCTTTAATTGATTACAGCAAGTGGCCTAAAGGTCTAGATACCAGGCCATAAGCTCCAAGAAAAAAATGATTATACCTATCAAATTTTCAGGTTATGTTATTGAAATAACACAAATTTCTAATATTAAGAATTGATGAGGAAAACATTCAGAGATATGCTTGTAAATATATGAATACTATATATAAAGTCACATTTTTTAATTATTTATTAGCATCAAGTCACAAAAGGTACGCTATACAATAAGTTAGTGCATTTTGAAATCGGCACTTTTTGTACCTTAGTCCATCTTTCATATTATTGATTTTTTTCAAATTGACAGATTCAAAAGTTGTGTATCACGCATTGGAAGTAAGATGAAGGTTTTCACGCAAAAAAGGAATCCTCTAACAGGCTGTACTGAGTGGGATATGCAAGATGAAGACTACGATTATCACCAAGAGATCGCCAGATCAGCCTTCGCTGATATGCTGCATGATACTGAGAGGAACCAAAAATATAGCAAGGCTTTGAAACTGGCTATTGAGAAAATGCATAATGATGGAAAGAAAGCCAATGTGTTGGATATTGGTAATTCAATGTACAGATATACTGATAGGGGGCACCGGCGCTTATATCAGTAACTTCAAGATTGTTGTTCTGGGTGCATTAGATTTGGGCAGCTGTGATCGTAAATAAAAATCTTAATTGAAAAAAAAAACTTGAAAAATAAATAATAATTGCCATTTTTTAACTGAAGTATATGTAGGGAACTAACAAGAATTTATTGAAGTGAAACTTCCTTATCGGCGTTGGAAAAAAATTTACCGTCACATTTTTCGGTTACGCGTCACATTTTTCCGTTACGCGCCATCTTTTAATTAACGGCTGTATGTTCTGAAGTATGGATGCGCATTTGAGAAACCGACCTCATGTCTCAAGGTGGGTCACGGAATACATTTTGTAATTGCAATAATCCCAGGTAACCCACTTAATATCACGTGGACCGTGCTATTATTGTTATTACGTAAAATAATAGGAAGAAAAGTACCAGGGTATTATGATATCAAAGAGATGTATTATTATAACTTTACTCTGACGTACAGCCTTCTTTATTAATTAACGGCTGTATGTTCTGAAGTATGGATTCCGATTTGAGAAATTGACCTCATGTCTCCAGGTGGATTACGGAAATCATTTTGTAATTCCAATAATCTCAGGGAGCCCACTTAATAATATCACGTGGACCGTGCTATTTATTACTGTTATTACGTAAAATAATAGGAAGAAAAGTACCAGGGTATTATGATAGCAAAGAGATTTATTAATAATTAACGGCGGTATGTTCTGAAGCATGGTTTCGGATTTGAGAAATCGACCTCATGTCTCAAGGTGGGTCAAACTTCACGAACCTCAGGAACCCCATTTAACACCACGTGGACCGTGCTATTATTATTAATTTATAGGAAGAAAAGTACCAGGGTATTATGATATCAAAGAGATGTATTATTAAAATGCTGTAATAATCTTAGTAGCAAAAAGGTAAAGTGAAATAATTGTATTATTTGTATTCATGTCTATGATAATAAAATCCTTTTGTTTAAACTTTATCTAATTTAACTTTATTTAACCAATTTCTAGAAAGTTGCATGTAGATCATTTTTCGAAAAATAAGGCCATAAACAAGTTTCACTTCTTACGTGTGTACACTAGTACACGCACACATTTTTCTTTTTATTATAGGCACAGGTACAGGGCTCCTCTCCATAATGGCAGCAAAATCAGGTGCTGACACTATTGTTGCTTGTGAGGCTTTTCAACCTATGGCTGAATGCTGTCTCAGGATATTGGAATGTAATGGTGTGGCTGATAAGGTAACTGTTATCCCAAAAAGATCTACAGAACTGACTGTTGGTGAAAATGGAGATATGAAACAAAAAGCTAACATTCTAGTCACTGAAGTGTTTGATACAGAGTTAATTGGGGAAGGTAAGTAATTTATATTTCAAATATTTTCTTAATGAAATATGATATAAGTTTTCATTAATTTATTTTGTTCAGTTCTAAACAGAACCATAGTCTTGAAAAGAGTGAAACAAACTGGCTAGGGCTTTTTTTTTCTTCTATTTTTGTTAACTTTAATTCCATAAATAACTCAGTTAATAATGCTTTCATTAAAGTAAAAGTATCATTCATTGACTTTATTAATTAAATATTTGTGACTTTGCTCTTACGTGTTTATGTGTAATTTACTTTACTACCTACTTAATAAGTTTTTGAGACATCTTGTAAAAGGTAAAGATGTACAGTTCTATATAGCCACTTAACGGAAATACTGCAAAAGTGAACCACAAATAAGTAAAAAATTATGAATATCCTAGTTACATCGAAAAAATTGTGTTAGTATGTGTGTATGAAATTTGAGTATACATAACTTGGATGTTGTGGTATAAATTTGAAGCAATCTTGCACTGAAAAGAGTTGCTTTTACATGTGTGGTGTGATTGAATAAGTTTTTTTTGTTATTGCTTAGGTGGGGGGACGAGCTTACAGCCCACCTGGTGTTAAGTGGTTACTGAAGCCCATAAACATCTACGACGTAAATGCGCCACCCACCTTGAGATATAAATTCTAAGGTCTCATGTATAGTTACAACGGTTGCCCCACCCTTCAAACCAAAACGCGTTACTGCTTCACTGCAGAAATAGGCGGGGTGGTGGTACCTACCCGCGCGGACTCACAAGAGGTCCTACCACCAGTCATTACGCAAATTAAAATTTGCGAGCTTGATTTTTATTACACGATGTTATTCCTTCACCGTGGAAGTCAATCGAGAACATTTGTTGAGTACGTATTTCATTAGAAAAATTGGTACCCGCCCGGAATTCGAACACCGGTGCATCACTCTACACGAATGGTACGTCTTATCCCTTAGGCCACGACGACAAGTATGTTGTAAACGACCATTAAATGGTCCAGATCATAAAGAACGTGAATTGGAGTTTACTCACCACTGTAATCATTTAAATAAAATTTTATGAAACACAACATAAAATAAAAATGATTATACTTAATTCTAGGAGCTCTGTCAACATTCTCTCATGCGCACAAGTTCCTATTAGAAGAAGATGCTATAGTTGTGCCAGATTCAGCTGTCATATACGCTCAAGTTGTTGAATGTCCAATTTTGCAGAAATGGAATAAACTAAATGATCTAGCTGATGAAGATTTGCAAATTATTCTCAAGACTCCTAAAAAGGTTTGTACTAATATAAAATCTCCGGGGGGGAGAGGCCTACATCCAGCAGTGGAGAGATACAGGCTGATGATGAATATAAAATCTATTATCAGTTCAGGAAGACTAAAATGGCTGTACTGCGTGTACTTCCATTCTGACCATTTCTTTTGAGAAGCGGTCACACATTCTCGATTAACTGTCAGTCCAGACGAGTACATACCACCATGATGCCAATTTTTATTTTTCAATAGTCATGTGCTAAGTTAGAAAAAGATATTTCTGTGATAAAACAAACTGAAATTTCGACCTCATGTCTCAGGGTGGATAGCAGCAAGCAACTTGTGATGTCTTTGGGCTCAGACAACTGACTATCATTAGATGAGTCATGAGCTTGTTTACTCATGTATGCACCAAAAAGTTTATTACTGAGTAGAAACCAGCAACTTGTCTGTGTCCGAGTGCGATGATGGTCAGTGAAAGTTCACTTAAACATCCATATTTATATTTTAAATATTGTGCATAAAAAGTTCTTTCTATAATCATCATTGTACACGAACTTTTAATAAATTTTTTTAATACATACAAAACACTACTATAACAGTATGATTCTATTGTGATACATAGATACATTAGATATATAAATAAAAACATACTAATAAAAATGTACAGTAACAATCCAATAAAAAAAAATCTTTCGTTTGTTCTTTGAATTCAATATGTTTAAAGGCAAGCAGCATATCTTTAAAAAAAAAAACAATGAAGTAGATAAACTTTAAAGCTTTTATGGTTTTGTTAATATATAATATATGGTGGTGATGGATGGATGGTGATAGTGAAATTTGTCGAAGATTCCCTAGTGTCATTCACAACTAACGTTTTTTTTTTATAACTTTCAGATCAAGGAATGTGCTGGTTCGGCCGCTGTTCACGACGTGCAGCTGTCTCAAATATCGCGTCAATCATTCCGAGAGCTATCCGATCAGATACCGGTGTTCTACTATGATTGGTCGGGCGCTACTCCAATTATCATGCAGAGAACTGTGAAGCAAGAGTTCTCAGTGGTAACCACCGGTAAAGCGCAACTGGTGTTCATGTGGTGGGAGCTGAATATGGATCAAGAAGGTTTGTTGTGGTGTACTTATTTATTTCCTATTGATCATTGTGTTGTACTGTAAAAACTGAGATCTTAGAACTCATGTCTTATGATGGGTGCCGGCATTTACGTTGTAGATGTCTATGGACTCCGGTAATCACTTAATACCTGGTGGGCCGTGAGCACATCCATCCAACTAAGAAAATAAAAAAATCGCTAATAGAAGTACGATTCACATGATAAATGGCTAATGTTTTATGTATCGGTTGAGGGAATCGTTTAGAGTGGTGGTATTCTCTGCGGAACATATTGTGTGGGATCGATGTATGTCTCAATAAGGAAACAATATATTAGAGTAACAATAGTTTATTCGAAGATTAAAGTTCTTTGGCAAGGGAGTTTCCAGACTAGGGGTCCGTTGCGGCGGCTTATTGAGAAAGCCATTCGCTAGCTTCCCCGACTGTGTGGACTGTGGAAAAATTTGTATTAATAATGATAATCATAAAAAAATTCAAAGCAAACATTCACGATAAGTACAACATAACGTAATCGAATTAATTGCTGACGCTTCAGTTGTCTGATCATTTGGGTACAAGCTATGAACGACACGTTATCATAGTGTTAATTCGTCAAACTATTTGCTTATTCCAGGAAAAATATCCTTGAGTTGCGCGCCGTGGTGGAGTCATCCAGATGCCGATATCTCGTCTCAGACGCCGCAGGACACAATTCCGTGGCGCGATCACTGGATGCAGGCGGTTTACTATCTACCGCAAGAAACTGAACTGCACAAAAGCATGGAGGCAACCCTGGTTTCGTGCCAGGACGAATACTCATTGTGGTTCTACGTGGAAACGGAACATAAACCACAACACTACCGGCGGCCGATCTGTGAATGTGGAGTTCACATGGCGTATTCGAGGACTCACGTCTCGTATTTGAACGACGGTAGGCGAAGCAAACAATTCTTGGCTCAACTGAAGAAGGAAATAACGAACGACTCGATTGTCCTGGATTTGAATGGAAGCAATTTCATGGGCTTGTCGGCCGCGAAAATGGGTGCCAAGGAGGTCTTCATTGTCGAAAAGATGAAAATGAATGTCGGCATTTTAATGGATTACATCGCCGAGAATAAGCTGAGCAACGTGACTGTTATACCGGAAGCCGGCGATGACGTTTTGAAGAAAGTGACCAATGTCGTAGGCGATCCTAGCTTCACCAGTGCCATTTTGCCTTGGGAGAATTTGAAAATTGCCTATTTACTGTTTAAGTATAGGGAGAAATTGAATAGCGGGTTGTCGGTCATACCGGAGAGATGCGAGTTCTGGGCCGTGCCGGTGGAATTTCAGAATTTACACAAAATAAGGGTGCCGCTCGGCGTCTGCGAAGGGATCGATATGTCCAAATTCGACGAACTCGTCGAGGTATGAGTTTGTTTGTTTACAAAATTAGTTTGGTGTTTCATTGGACTTCAAATATTTATTTATTTATTAGAAGACGTCCGGTGCATTCGTATGTAGCGATGCACCGGTGTTCGAATCCCGCAGGCGGGTACCAATTTTTTTTATGAAATACGTACTCAACAAATGTTCACGATTGACTTCCACGGTGAAGGAATAACATCGTGTAATAAAAATGAAACCCGCAAAATGATAGTATGCGTAATCACTGGTGGTAAGACCTCTTGGGAGTCCGCACGGGTAGGTACCACCACTCCGCCTATTTCCGCCGTGAAGCAGTAATGCGTTTCGGTTCAAAGGGTGGAGTAGCCGTTGTAACTATACCGAGACCTTAGAACTTATATCTCGAGGTGGGTGGCGCATTTACGTTGTAGATGTCTATGGGCTCCAGTAACCACTTAACACCAGGTGGGCTGTGAGCTCGTCCACCCATTTAAGCAATAAAAAAAAATTTGGTTGTATTACAGACTTCTAGACTGATAAGCGACGCAGAAGTGGAAGCTCAGCCTCTGTGGGAGTACCCGAGTAAATGTCGCGGCGTACCCAGGAAGCTGATCGAGATTGATTTTCATGACCTGAAGCCTACTTACGCGTTTAATGGCGTTCAACAAATAATGTAAGTTTTCTACTTTGGGTAGTTTTAAAAGTTTATGGATCGGACAACGTTCTAGTGCTGAAATGAAATGTGCTTAAAATTAGTTTGCGGATAGTACATACCCCCTGGTATTGCTGTAGTCCATGAACGTCAGTAACCAGTCAGACTTGGTCAGTAGTAGACTCCGTATGTTAAGTGCATTAATAATAATAATAATAAAAAAAAAACATTCAGGTGTTTTGAATTTTTGTGAAAATTTTATGAAAGCATCTATGGCTTCTTGTTAATAATTTTCGTAGTAACTTCAGTTACTTACGAGTTACTATATAAAATAAGTAATAGCAAAAAAAAATTAGACTATTATATTATATACTTTTTCCTACAGAGAATCTCAAGATGAAGAAGGTACTACATTGACTATAAATGGATTCGCGTTGTGGGCAGTGTGGAAGATCGGTGGAAAGGATATAGTCACAGGTCCAATAAAGAGTCCTGTTTTAGGCGAAAATATCGAATGGGATCCTCACACAAGACAAGCAGTCAAAATACTTGTAAGTTTGTTATACTTTACTTGAACGATGGTGGTAAGGCGTACTGTAAGCCCAAACGGGTAGGTACCATGATCCTGCCTATTTCTGCCACGAAGCAGTCGTGCATTTAAGCGTGGGGCAGCCGTTATACTGTACAAATGAGATTTAATTGGTTTATCATTAATAAGCTGATTCATCGAAATTTAGCGTTTTTTTTGCAAACCGTACTTAAAGCGACGAGCATTTGATATGTAGAATTGAGTCTCAATAAGCAGCGGGAGAATAAACTGGATTATTTTTGTTAAGTGCATTTAGAAAGCCATTAGAAATATGACAATAATAATAATAATAAATAAATAATTTGATATCGTCGATACAACACACTGTATGTCTACACTCTGACTCCGTGTGGAGAGAACTAGAGAGTTGCAATCACGTATTGTAGTGGGTACACAGGTGCAACATTTAGAATGTTCGATTTCATCTTTGTCTTTTTATTTAATTTTTTTGATAGTCTTTAATTGTTTTATTTAATTAAAAAATGTGTTTCTTCTAGAAAAAGACTTTTACAATGAAGACTTCAGACAAATGGAGCTATCAAATCGCCTGCGACATTGAAAAAGGACAATTCAATGTCAATTTAGATTTAGTCTGTAATGAATAATTTTGTATTTTGCTAATATCTATGTATATCTGACGTATCTGACGCATTAAAACGACGTGAACAATGTAGATATATTTTGTTTTATTTTTTAATAAATACCCCTTCCTATAACAGAAGAATAGAAAAGAGATATCGACATCAGCGGTCAGATTAATTATAATTCATTTGCCCTTGGTACCTGACCCAGGGCCCCGAAGCTGCGATACTTTAAAACAAATAGTTTTTTTGTATGGGAACTAGCGGCATCTTGTAGCAGATGCCCCTAAACTTATACGTTGTTAAAATTAAGGCATTTAATTATTGTATAACTAAACTCAGAAAAAAAAATCATAAAAGTCTTTATTTGTTATAGACAAATTGATTGAATTTTATCAATTTGAGGTGTCGGAAAATTTACAAATCATTTAAAAATAAAATATATGATAGCTAATATGTTACTGTCAACTACAGGAGCAATGAGAAACTAACTGAAGCGAGGTCGTCTAGTGGCCGACGCCCGTAAACATTTTTGTTGAATGCTTGAGTTGCTTATCTATAACTAATTTATGTGTATTATCTATGGGTGGATCGACCGACGACATGCTAACGGTCAAAAATCCGCTGTATGGGGGCAGCGTCGGTCATGGCTAACCTCAGAGAAAATTCAGAGAAAAACTGTCGTGATTTTTTAAAGGTTTTTCCTATTTCACTGCTATGAAATGCATCTCATGTCTTAAGAACTTCATGGACTCCAGCAGGCCCTTAACGCCAGGACCACGTGACTTATGTAGCTTAGGTCAGTCCCATTTAACACTAATCATACCAACACTTACTGGTACCTATTTTACCATAGCGGGCAGTTAACGGTACCTATATGACAAATTAAATAATACTCAATTTAAATATTACTCAAAATAAACGAAACAAAAAAAAATTGTATAATAGTTGTAGATTAATTATTAGTAAGAAAAATTAATGAAGTCAACTTTGCAAAAGCAATAAGATGATACGTGCATTTTCAATGCAAAAGTTCGAAATGGGTCATTTGACCCGTTATGGTATGTTTAGTGATTAGTGTTAATTATTTAGTTTTTATAGGCTCTAACGTTACTCGATTCTACTTTGACTTAGCACCAAGCTCGTCTGTTAATAACTAGAAATAATACACAATCTGAATACACTAAACTTAAACACCCACATATATCGATCATTGATATAAATAAAAATATTCCCAGATTTAATATTAATCTCTTTTATATTAGTCATAATATCACATAATATAATTCTGTCTATTTATAACGTGAAGGAGTTCATCTGTTTTGGTTTGAATGGTAGGATAATAATTATTCATAAAATACAAATAATTTAGTCTTTGACCTCATATCTCGAGGTGGGTGATATTTATTCTTATGTCTTTGGATTTTCGAATTAACTTAACACCAGATGGCTATGAACTTATTCTATTTATATCCATCTAAGCAAAAATAGTAAAAAACATACTAGAGAAAAGCTTTTTTTTCTTTTCTTATCGCCATATGCACAAACGGTGGCTAGTAAATTTGTTTGCCAATGAGTTGATGTGCACTTCACGCTCTGCGGATTTTGGTTTTTTTTTCTACCTAAGCATCAGCTGAAATAGCCTCTCAAGGCTTGATCGCTTTGAGAGGCTATTTCAGCGTAACCTTAACTAGTAGGTAAGCTTACGGGGCTTAAGCCGGAGTGATGCTAACACTGACCCTAGTAAGAGCAGTGCTTCACAGAATCTACCACCGGATCGGAAGCGTAACCCACTGAGAAGATCCGGCGAGAAACTAGAGGGGTCTGTGTCTATGGGTTAATTCGCTCGTCGAGCCTTTCGTCGCAAGCGACGGGTTCGACGAGGACGGTGACCGGGGGATTTCGGTGAAAACTACTAATAAAGTAGACCATCGAAGTACAAACAGATATGATTGGTTGTTGCTTTTTCTGAAATTAAATATTCACAGCTTTTAACGTTGCTTAAACAGTTGACGAAGAAGAAAAATAAATAAACCGAAGTTATTAGATTCATAATAAACAAAATTTCAGTATTTGTTTGTCCGTGTTAAAAACGTCGCTTTCACGACAAACGCATATAAATAACATTGCTTTATTTGTCATATTTTCAGGTCAACTTTAACAAACACGATAATTTCAAGCAGCGTTCCGAGATAAAGTGGGTATGAAGTTAATTTCAATTTTATGACGGCTTAGCAGCGCCGAGTTGTGGTCAGAAGGAACTAGGCTCTATGCTGTGTGGTCATAAACAATGTTGTGAAGCGTTTACAGTACGCACAGCCTTAAGGAAACGTTGCGTGGAAGTCGGTGGCGATTTATTTACACGAGCCACAAACGCGAACGGATGTGTTCTAAATTAAGTTATGACCGTGTATGACTGTGGTCATTTTACTGTTTATGTTCGTCGTAAGGTTTTATGAGTTTCTCTTCAGGAGTAGCCTGGTCGCTTAACCGAACATTCCCTTTAGTTGCGAGTTTCTAGCTAAAATTAACGGGCGTTTTAATTTGAATTAAAGCGCCCGTTTTAATTCAAATTAATTGCTCTTGCAATTAATTGCTCTTCGTTAGTCTCGCCAAAACTTGAGCACGGCTGGACCGTTTTGGCAAATTTTGGTCTTGATTTTTTTGTAGAAGTCCAGAGAAGGTTTAAAAGGTAGATAAATATGAAAATGCTCGGAATTAATTAAAAATAACAATTTGTTTATTTTATACAAAAGTTTACGTCTTTTATTTATCGATTGAGGCACTACGAAGTCAGGGTCAGCTAGTTTGAAATAAAACGGTAACTTAAATTTTATAAAATCTTCTTTGCTCTTCTTAGCAGTTTAGTTTGGATATTCATGTTTTGATTAATAGAAATGTCTCCTGTATTTTTGGTGTGTATTTTTGGTGCCACAAACATATCGAAACAGGAATTAAATCGAATATAGATCCTGACAACTTGATATCATGTAAAACACATTGTACCTTTACTGGTGGTAGGACCTCTTGTAAGTCCGCGCGGGTGGGTACCACCACCCTGCCTAATTCTGCCGTGAAGCAGTAATGCGTTTCGGTTTGAAGGGTGGGGCAGCCGTTGTAACTATACGTGAGACCTTAGAACTTATATCATAAGGTGGATGGCGCATTTACGTTGTGGATGTCTATGGGCTCCAGTAATCACTTAACACCAGGTGGGCTGTGAGCTCGTCCACCCATCAAAGCAATAAAAAAAAAACCTACTCAACATAATGTCAATTTTGAATGTCCTTGTTGGAGAAATTTAATGTAAAAGCATAAACAAAAACAAACAAAAGACTTGACACATTAAATGTTCATTTTGGATGCCAGGAATGAGACCAAATACATTTAGTATTTACTATATTTGTGCTTAAAGTTTCTGCTATTCGATACAGTAGAGGTAGGTATAAATAAATATATGGACATAAATTTATATATCGACTTTATGCTGTATATCTGCACGTTTAAGTAACTATTTATAGCCTATTAGGAAATCTAGTGAAGTGGCCACTATATCTACTGTGACCTTATCTTTATTTAAGTGTTAGAATGATACAAACGGTAGTCGTATTTATAGAGATCGGCTATGAAATTTTATACTGTGATTCAAAAACTAGATATTGCTTATATTTAAAATTATATGTATTATTGTTATTGTACAAAATGCACTCGCAGTTATCACAAATAATAATAAGAGATTGATTTAAAGTTTACAGATGTTAAATTTTTAAAGTCCGATTCGGCAAGTCTATTGTTGAAAGAACGTAATGTTGGTGATGTCAGGCAGAACAACTTTTACGAAAGTGTATTTATTTTATTTTATTTTTTATTGCTTAGATGTGTAGATGATCTCACAGCCCGCCCGGTGTTAAGTGGTTACTGGAGCCCATAGACATCTACACCGTAAATGCGCCACACACCTTGAGATATAGTTCTAAGGTCTCAGTATAGTCACAACGGCTGCCCCACCCTTCAAACCGAAACGCATTACTGCTTCACGGCAGAAATAGGCGGGGCGGTGGTACCTACCCGTGCGGACTCACAAGAGGTCCTACCACCAGTAACACGCAGTAACGTCACAGCTCGGGTTGATAGCCATAGTGTAAAATAAACATGGGATTATACAAATGTCATCATTGAAACGTGAATAAGTAAATAAGTTCATATCGACGCTTGAAAGGCAAACGTCACTAAGCGACAATAACTACTTTGTATATAAACGATAGGCAATAACGCCAATAACCATATTCGATGCGCAAAAAAAATATATTTCTAGGTCTATTAAAATCATTTCAATCCTACAGCTACTAGCTAGATTCTACTACAGCTAGATTCGTTAAAATAAATATTGTTTTCAGGTATTTCAACTTTAAATTAGTCTACTGCAAAGTTTACGAATTGTCGCTTAGTCACTTTTGCCTTTCAAGCGTCGATATGTATACTCGTATTGAAATAATTGCCTGGTTTTCTTTAAAAAAAAAACGCTAAGATAATAAGGTTCCGTCGTGTGTGATATAATTGGAAATTCATGGAGTAGGTAGGTGTTTAGTTCAAAGTTGGACACGTACCAATGTTTGCTTTTCCAGTTTTTTACCGACACCCCGTTAGAAATATATTGACATTCCTAATGTATGGATAATGGATGCGAAATAAAAATAAAGATTTTTTTTCTTCAATCGCTTTCTATTATCTTTTTACGAGAAATCTAACTAGACGCTACACATTAAAATTTATATGTAAAGTTTACATTTGTATGATATAGTAAACTACATTGGTATTATAATGAGTCCTGACCACGGAGACAAGTTCTTGAGACGACAGCACCAAATCATATGTTCGAAGTTTTATATTTTATTTATGTGTTTTTGGACGCACGCAATATAATAAAATTAAAAATCTAGTGACGCGTGGGGTGAACGACCTCGGAGCAAGGCACAGCGCGGCTACCTTCGACTTATAATGAGGATTCATGACACACTAAACAAGCATTTGTGCATAGTTTAGTAATTGAATTGAAAAGTAGTTTTTTTTACTGGTGGTAGGACCTCTTGTGAG